TGAACAAACGAACATTCCGGAATATCTAATATATGGTTGAGATTGTATAGCAGTGCTTCCCACATACTGTTCAACGCCTCCTCCGTTCAAATGTTTATCCCACTAAAGCGAGAGATAGACGATCATTTTGACGGAATCAGTCGTACGGGTCGTAACTGTCGTTCGGAATACCCCGTGTTGACGTTTTCGAGGTTGCATGATTAGAAAACACATTCCGACTGTCACTTTCATGATCGCGACGCTCTGATTGGTCGGATGAAAGGTCTTTCTGACGTGACGTGTAATGGGATGTCCTCAGATCTTTGTTTAGCGATAGCGATAACTAAGATCTGATTTTAAATGAGATTGAATGATTTGATACATGTGTTTGGCTTATTGTATATCCCGACATTTATCCTCCAGGTGGGTTTCATTGGGGACAGTACTATCCACACTAGCAGAGTCTCAGGATACAAATTTTGATCGGTTTTGATCACTTCTTCGGACGGGTGGTTGCTTGAAACATTAATACAGAAATCTAGAACATCAGATATACTCTGGTGAGCTGAGAATGACAGTGTGATATTCCATAATGTATGGCGTGTCCGTGTCCGACAATGTTAATACAGAAGCACAGCCTTCTGGACGATTGCTATGTCACTATTACCTTATGTCAGTATCAAGATAAATACTCATACTCACATCCTCATGATTGGTGAGGGGTGGTGGGGTAGCCTAGCTGTTTAAGCTTTGCTCGTCACCGAACATCGATTTCAATTAAAAACTGGTGAGACCTTAGCTGTTCATTCACTCAGGACTGGTTAAGCACTGAAACTTGTCGATCTGGATAATTAAACAAGGAAAAGGACCTCCAGATGTATTTCAGATAACCATATGGTTTATTATTATTATTATTATTATTATTACACTTCTTTCAAACTATTCTATAAACACACGACTAGTTCAAGGTTGAAGATCAATGATATACAAAAATATATCATTTTAGATATCACATGCTATGTTCAATAATTATCAATGTAATAACTTTCAAAGAATAAGAAAATATTTGAAGAATTCACATGTACATAAAGAGTACAAATAGATTATGCATGTCAAATAACTATCATAAAATGAAAAATATAATTATATCACAGAATCCTACCACCTTATTGCATTGTATTAATGATATATAATTTACTACTTCTTCTACAATTTCAATATGAAACCCGGTATGTTTATTTTTATTTATAAACATATGAAAGTTCTATGCTGAGTAATCATGTACAGTTTGTGTACTGAAAGTACACTCAGGTCAGACTTTTTCAACAATGGTTAAAGATTTCATTTTGATAATTCATGAGGGTGCCAACCCCTTTTGGGATGCCGGATGCCAAGACTTGTTAAGTGGTATTACGGATGCCTCAGTGCACTATGCTGGATGCCATGAAATGTTTATCTGTTACACAGATGCCCATCCTTCAATGTTGAAATCTTTTTCAAACTAGTTTAAACAAAATTTGTGATACCATAGTTATTGGACTGTCCATTGACGACATTAATTATGAATGTATAACTTTTTCTCGTCATGATATGCCTGAAATATTGATGATGTGATGTTCAATTTTAACTCATTCACTCACCAATATCTTCCTCACAACTATCCCAAATGACTTCACAAAGTATATCAGCAATTTGTCATTGAGGCACAATAAAAAAGATCAATGTTTGACCAAGATGGTTTGTACTCCAGCTGACCAAGGCTAGGGTTAATGTGACATCATACATACATTACGTATACATCACAGACTTATTGCACTGCTGACTCCTATTTCACTCTAACAGCTTGGTTAGGGTGCAGTTCAAAAGTTTCACGTCAGATAAAAATCTTAATTCATTAAGTTTCGGGTTGGGGAAGTTAGCCGAAGGTCTGATCTTCCATCCATCAAAACAGACTGGGGACTTACAGGTCAAGTTAATTTACAGGTCAAGGCCAGACCAATTGTTTTTCTTGTATTACCAATTCTTTGGTTCAAATTGTCAAGACAAGAGGGAAAGGAAAAGAAATAAAGACACAGCCCAGATCAATAGAAAAATGTTTGCATTACATACTTATGGGGCCAAATTGGTTGGAAAATAATAAACGCTTAAACCTTATGAGGTAAGTACTTATAAACCAACTCCTGCAGCTTCAAGAAGCAAAACTTTTGGAAGCCTTAAATTAGACCTGGCCATGCATGTGACCATGACATTCAATGACACTGAGTTTGTCAACACGGTGCAAAACTGTATGAGAAATGCCAACATAACAAATTCACAAACCTCAACCTGCATTGACTAGGCGCCATTCAAGAAGTAATTAAATTGGTATGGACTCAGCAGTCACTGATGGCAAGTGACAATTGCAGAAGAGTTGCTTCCATTGAGAAATTTATTATCTTAAGTGTTGTCAGTGCAATATAAAAAAAATCATTCCTTTTCCTTTAATTCTTTTCAAAAAAAAAAAAAATCAGTTCGGCAGATCCATAATCCAAGAAACAATTGGTCTGGCCTAAACAAGGAATTAAGCTTTTTACCCAACATGGTACTCTTGAAAACCTCTTGAGGCACCAATGGAACAATATATATTCATATATACTTGACATGCCTACAGTGCATTCTCTTGAATGTTACCATTAGGCATAGCACAAGTCATGACATCAGATTTTGGTCCATCAGATAAGCATAATTTAAGAAATGAGGAAACATAAATTTCAGATGTGTTCCTATCAGTGGGACTTGGACTCCATTCATATTAACAATTGCATGTTTGGGACTTACGACAACACTAAATGCATAGTTATTTAATAAAATGTCCATGTCAAAAAGGCTGATTTTTTTTATCGAAGCTTCCATAAGTGTTTTTCTTATAAATTATCATGAGCAATTCTGCGACCCAAGCTGGTTTTCTCAGTAGTTGCAGATAAAGACAGTACAAACATAGGGTAAATAATACATCCTAGGTCCTGGGCTTTCTCATAATTACATTTTCTAACTTGAAATTTCAAGATACTAACTTGAAATTTCAAGATACATAAGTTGAAATTTCAAGATTTTAACTTGAAATTTCAATTAAGTATCTTGAATTTCAACTTACTATGTTGAAATTTGAAGATACTAAGTTGAAATTACAAGATGCTATGTTGAAATTTCAAGATACCAAGTTGAAATTTCAAAATATTAAGTTGAAATCTCAAGTTACTTAATTGAAATTTCAAGTTATAATCTTAACATTTCAACTAGTATCTTGAAATTTCAAGTCAGTATCTTGAAATTTCAAATTTGTATCTTGAAATTTGAAGTAAAAAACAAAAAAACAAATGGCCCTAAAAGGATTCTGTACAACAGGCTATTTGTCAGTCATTTGAACATGTCTGATTATTTTTATACCAATGTTTCCAAGTTGTGCCCTTGATCCCATCCCTTTATACTTAGAGATGCTGGGAGCCAAAAGACGTCACATGGTACACAAAAATCACATTTTTTTTCTAGCTTTGTACAAAAGAAATAGAATACATTATAATCATGCCTTCTGACACATTTTGTAAAAAGTCACAAGAAACCAAAATATTATTTTACCTGGCAAGTTAAATAATTCTATGAGGTGTTTATTACATTTGATAATGCTGTTAAAATGCAACACATTATCACTATGCTAAAAAATGGTTTAATATGAACAAAATCAATGGTTTTGGTTTCCTTGATGATTCATTCATGTGGTGTTCAACAAAGAACTAAATTACACAAGTAAACAAAAATATAATTTTGCCATAAACCATTATGCTCAGTACCTGCCTTCAAAGTCTACAGTCTACAGTCAAAAGAACTAAAACAACTCTTGATGTTCAACAATGATACTAAAATAATCATAGATATGCAGCTGAATAAATATTTCATCAAATAACAAATTCTTGTAAACTTAAGAAATATAGTTCTTCTCACAAACCACACAGATATCTTATGATGATCATTTTGCAAAGATACATGTGTAAATGGAAAAATCCCAACTCTTCAAACAACAAAATACCTATCCAACATTCACCTCTGTTGGGGTATGAAGTCAGGATTATAGCTTCTGAGGACCTTACACTGCAACTAGAGTTTGCCTTGCCATAGATAGCTACAAAATTATGTAAACACTCGCTCACTCTCACCTGAGGTGTATCAGATCAATCATGGATAGCTGCAAAATTATGTAAACACTCATGAGGTGTCTCAGATCAACATCAGGGGCAGATCCAGAATTCAGAAAGAGGCTCCCTATGTCAAGAAGTGAAACCCCTCTGGATCTGCACCCCACCCCTCTGGATCTGCACCCCACCCCTCTGGATCTGCACCCCACCCCTCTGGATCTGCACCCCACCCCTTTGGATCTGCACCCCCTTCTGGATCTGCACCCCGACTCTCTGGATCTGCACCCACCCCTCTGGATCTGTACCAAGCCCTCTGGATCTGCACCCACCCCCCTGGATCTGCACACACCCTTCTGGATCTGCACACACCCCTCTGGATCTGCACCCACCCCTCTGGATCTGCACCCACCCCTCTAGATCTGCACCCCTCTGGATCTGCACCCACCCCTCTGGATCTGCACCCCACCCCCCTGGATCTGCACCAACCCTTTTGGATCTGCACCCCACCCCTCTGGATCTGCACCCCTCTGGATCTGCACCCACCCCTCTGGATCTGCACCCCACCCCCCTGGATCTGCACCCACCCTTTTGGATCTGCACCCCACCTCTCTGGATCTGCACCCCATCCCTCTGGATCTGCACCCCACCCCCGGGATCTGCACCCCACCCCTCTGGATCTGCACCCCACCCCTCTGGATCTACCCCCCTCTGGATCTGCATCCCACCCCTCTGGATCTGCACCCCACCCCTCTGGATCTACCCCCCCCTCTGGATCTGCACCCCACCCCTCTGGATCTGCACCCAACCCCTCTGGATCTACCCCCCTCTGGAACTGCACCCCACCCCTCTGGATCTTCATCCCACCCCTCTAGATCCGACAGTGAAACAGCTTTCATAATATAGTGTAAATCAATTTACACACAAAACAATAACTATTTGTATCAACATCTGCACCATGGTGCTTTGTTCTCAATGATGAAAGATCTAACCAACTTCTTACAGCAACCTTATAACATAAATAATCCATATACACAAGCTTAAAAGATTTTGATTTGCTGACTTACTTCTGACAGATGGCAGGAGGCTTCTACAAGAAGTGCAAACAGCTACAAATGTATAGAAGTGAACACTGTTCTATTCATCACATTCTTTAAACACTGTCTCTTTGTGGTCAACCGTCATCTCTCTACTGGTCAATCCATCAGCTTCATCTTTGGCTAGCCATTTACGACACACAAAGTAATATCTTTCATACTCTGGAATCCTCAGTATCTTGCCATCCCGATTGAACACTTCATCTGCGTAGTCTTTGGCTCGGGACTTGTCTCTTTTCTTGGAATTCTTCTCCTCAACTGAAGTGTCAGATTCGGATTCTGAGCTATCGGTGCTGTTGTCCGTTTTATTTCTGTCTTCTTTGTTCAACCGCTCTGCATACCTCTTCCTCCGTCGCTCAGGGCTGTCTTTGTGGAACTTCTTCATTCGTTTGAGCCGTTCTATTTTCTCTTCCTTTGTCAAATATCTCTTCACAGTCACCTGTTTCATAAGAATGAAGCAATAGTAAAGGTAGGTTTTCTCATGGATGTCAGGGATTTATCTAGACCTGCTCAGAGGCTGATATTCAGTAGCAAATGTCAATAAGACTTCACACAAAAAAAACCAGTAGATCCCAGTGGTTTGAATGTTTGTTTGTTGTTTAACACCGAACTCAGCAATATTCCAGCTATATGACGTCAGTCTGTAAATAATCGAGTCTGGACTAGACAATCCAGTGATTGACATCATGAGCATCGATCCAGGCAATTGAAATATGATGACATGCAGCAACCAAGTCAGCGAGCCTGACCACCTGATCCCGTTAGTCGCCTCTTACGACAAGAATAGTTGCCTTTTACAGCAAGCATGGGATGCTGAAGACCTATTCCACCCCGGATCTTCCTAGTGATTTGAACAAAATATGTCATTAAAAGGAGCCACAAACATGCCAAAGTCCAACTTCCTCAGTCTGGCAATTTCAGAAGATGTTTACAGAGCCAAAATTGCATTTTGAGAGGTTCTTTATAAGCATAACAGAACATTTTGTGTAGAAATGTCTGTGCAGTGGCCATAAATATGGTAGCGATATGTGTATTGAAAAATCCGATTTGAACTTCTTGAACAAATTCAGATCTATTCATGGGATAGAACAAGCATGTGAAGATTCAGCTGCATTGGTCAAGTGGTTTCTGAGGAGATAATTTTTACAAAACAGAGAAATTGCATATTTTCAGAGAATTTATGAGCATGAAAGAGCTCTTCAAATAAAGGTGAAAAAATGTGTTATGACCTGCACACACATACCAAATTTCATAACATATTGAACAAAAATGGCTCAGTAAGGTCAGATTAAGGTCAAAATTTAAAATACCACAGAAAATAGAACATATATCTTCAACACAGCTAGTAAAACTAAATCTTTTATATTTTGAACAAAACAGCTGCCATCACAAGATGCTGGAAAAGAAGGCCATGACATAAGCTCACTTGACATTCTGTGAGGCGAGCTAAGAAGCAAATCCAAGCAAATGTTGATAAATTTAAAACTCCATGGACAATTGAACATAATTAGATTTCTCCATCCCTGATTGACATTCCCCTCTGCACAAAGGTAAGTGGAGGAGACGAGTGCAGAGCTGTACTTACATCCTCAAGGAACCATCCCGCCCCAGCTCCGGTGTTATCATGACTCACGACAATCCGGGTCAGTGGACCAACATCGATACCTCGCAGCTGCAACCAACGTCAAGATGTTTTGTTATACTGCTATTAAGAATGTTGAATTCAATCGGTTAAATTAAGCCGTACCAAGTGACGAAACAATACATTTGAATGTTGATCCCAAAATCATGTGACTGACACTGACCTCAAATATCGATTTGTCATATGATCAGTATTGACCTAATTGTCACATGATGAACATGTCTCGTCTGCTAGAGTGAGTGTGAGTGAGTTTGGTTTTACGCCGCTTTAAGCAATATTCCAGCAATATCACGGCGGGGGACACCAGAAATGGGCTTCACACATTGTACCCATGTCGGGAATCGAACCCGGGTCTTCAGCGTGACGGAGTCTGGTACTAACATTTCACCATTTGCAGCTAAGTTACTGTAAGGAAACAGGACAGTTTACAGGATTCTTAAAATTTTGGTATAACAAAATGAATGATTACTTTTGATGAGGTCAATATGTGAAAACAAGCACCCTCAGACCTGACCTCTTCGATGGTCTGACCATGTTGTTGGATAATATATTGTTTATTTGTTTGTTTGTTTGTTCGTTGACAGCGCACTCAGAAATATGCCAACTATATGATGACGGCCTGTAATAATCAAGTCTGGACCAGACAATCCAGTAAGTGACATCATGAACATCGATTGTGATTCGGATATGACGACATGAACATGCATCAATCAAGTCCACGAGCCTGACCATCCAAACCCGTTAGTCCCCTCTTACAACAAGTATGGGTTGCTGAAGACTATGTTTAACCCAGATCTGCAATGTGAAGACACAATATGAATTAACAGTAAGCTCAGTCTGACATCTATTGGAAATAAGTGTGGTAATTAATATTTTCACATTTCGGGGTAGGCACTCAAGGCCAGCAGGTTATTCCATGAGTTTGATTACTGTAAGTAATTTTATGTAACAAGGGCATAAATAGACTCAATCAATACATACTGTTTGTGGGTAAACCATATGCATGTTTCATTAACAGTACACACAGCACTCACTGGTTGTAAGTTCTCAGGCACTCTCAAGCCTAGCTGCGTTAACCATATCTCCGCCATGCTTTCTATCAACGATTTTGAGTTTGACTTGTCAAACAGAGCGATGTGTTTTCCTAATACATCCCTAATCCAAATCTACATCCCACTTTACATGCTTCAGTAAAGTGAATGCGTTTGTTTCCTAACCACAAATGCAAAATTTCCTAGGACACTTGCCTTCAAACACAAGTACTTTTATTTTAGTGTCAATCACTGGATTGACTGTTTTAGTATTTCCGGTACAATACAGCTGGACAGATGTCTGTCTGGAATACTGCCTGGTTTTTTAACAAGAAAAGGTTTCGTTTCCCATGTGTCCAGATGGACATAAACATCCGTGGGAATGGAATCAGGTAGTGTGGTCCTTCAAATGTCAGACCCGTGAAGATCCGGGGTAGAATAGGTCTTCAGCAACCCATGCTTGCTGTAAATGGAGACTATGCTTGTCGTAAAAGGCGACTAACGGGATCGGGTGGTTGATGCATGTCATCGATCCCAAGTACGTGGATCGATGCTCATGATATTAATGACTGGATTGTCTAGTCCAGACTCGATTATTTACGGACCCCCGTCATATAGCTGGACTATTGCTGAGTGTGGCGTTAAACAATAAACAAACAAACAAACTTCTATTTTAGATTGTGCAACAATATACTTACAAGACTGGTAAAGATGTCTTACTCACAAGTACACAGAGAGTTGCATGACCAAAAATATAAGTACTCATATTTGAAGGCAAGTATTTTAGGAAGTTGCGACAAAAAACTAACAGGATCGAGTGGTCAGGCTCTAGCACTTAGTTCACGCATGTCTTTGTATCCCAATTGCGTAGATCGATGCTCATGATGTCAATGATTGTCCAGACTTGATTATTACAGACCGTCACCATATAGCTGGAATATTGCTGAGTGTTGAATTAAACAGCAACAAAAACAAAACAAAACCTGTACTTTAAAAGAAATAAAAGAATAAAGTGCACTCTTCACCGATTTTTTACTACAGCCTTTAAAATACCACACATAGATATGACATTACTTACATCAAACTCTTCCACCATTCCCCTCTCAAAGTTGTCCTTCGCATCATCCATCTGTATTTTCCGTGTGGTGCCCTTTTGCCCAACAAACTGAATGAAGACATTGGCATCCGTGCCGGCATACTTGACATCTCCGGTCTTAACAGTCACATGGTACCGAATGTTTTTACCTGAAACATTACGCAGATCAGAGTATCACCATTAGATCACATGTTTAATCTGCTTGGATATCTTGAGAGAAATGAAAACTAAACTCACAACAAAAGGGACACTTTTAACCATTTAACATGTTTAATTTTCGAGGGGGGAGTAGTGGTAGTATTATTTCTTAAAAATATAGCCCCTGTTTTATTGAATTTTGTTTTACATATGATAGCATTGTAGGAAATGTGACCTTTTCTTGTCCAAAGTTCAATATTTATTTCTTAATATTTAAAAAAATATTTGAGCTCCTGTTTATGTTGGAAGAAATAATTGAGCTAATTTTACATTCCCCAAGTTATCTCAAACAAAATGTCCAACTGACACAGTAATCTTGACAATTTCATATGCTGTCTTCCTATTGTAACCATGGTAACATACAACAGGATGTTTTTGTCTGTTTTGAAAGAGGAAAAAGTTGTTTGTCAGTTGACATGGATGCATGGAGACTGTTTCCAAAACATTTCATGGCATCTTACTGATCAGTAACCTGAAACATACGGATGCTTCTTATTAATTAGTTATGCCTCAATGCTCAAAATTTGCAGACAACTGTCAAACACCTGCAAATCATAAGCTGACACAGTTGATGCATAAAATATGTATTAAGGATTAAGCATGTCCGAGGATTTTTATGATATTTAAATCTTGCATTCGCGGGATAAAACTGAGGGGTGTTACTAAGCCCTGAGGTTTTATCCAAAGGATATGGGTTTTAAATATCTTAAAAACCTGAGGGGAAGTGTTTTATCTAACTTATAAACTGAAAAAAGACACTTAAAACAACATTTATCAACACTTTTATGTTTGAAACATACTTTCCTGATGAACCTTAGAAAACCAGCGAAAAATACCTGTTGCTGGTATACGGTACTTGAAAAGGACATTCTAAATTGTGATTTATCAGCACCTCTGTAGCCTAGTGGTACACTCACTGGGCAACAGATACGAAGGTTGCGTGTTCGATCCGAAGGAATATAAAGAAAACATTTGTCAGAGCTCCAGATAAGCTGCGTATCTGCGTAAAATACGCATCAGAAATGCAGAAATAAGCAGTAAAATAAAATCTAAGCGTATCAAATACGCAACGAACATTACAGATAAGCTACACAAATAAAACTTGTTGCGTATCATCAAAGTAATGTGAAGTAACCCTGCATATTCGATTAGCAAATCAGCAACTTATTTTTAAATTATAAACGGGCATAACGTCAACCTTGCCAAACTCCACGATGACAGTTACATCATGATCATTTGCCATAACACTTTCTTGTGGAAGTATCGTGGTATTTTTGAGTCCTATAATGCTCTCGAACCCACACGACACCAGTTTGCAGGGACTAGATGAATAGTGTTTTTAAATATTTAACTTAAATACCCACATGTGTAAAAACTAGTGGGTAACAGAAATTTGAATACCCAGATAGAATAACAGATACCCAATGATTTTAAAATGCATGGGTAAAATACCCACAACACCAAAAGCTTATCTGGAGCTCTGTTTGTCATTTGATTTTACATTTCATTACATTGTGTTCAAATGCAAAATAAATTTCTAGCAAGAAACATTCATATATTACAATCTAAATGAAAGATGTATTAATAAAATCCCCAGGATATAATAACATATTATATAGCAAACATGCCAGGAATATAACAACATCCCTGTTTACGAGATTTAACCTGTCTTGAGAACAATGGCACAAAGTCACTACTAATATCCTATGGTTTTCATGTCTTCAAATACAGCCTAGGAAAGTCACTGATTTGTAAGCTTGCATTATTCTGAGAGTCACGTTTATCTTGTGATGGGGATAAGGGACAATCTCAATTTAATCACATAAACCGACAGAACAGATTGGCAATTTCATTCTACCAAAACACTCAATGAAGTCAAAAATATGGGAATGACAGATATTTCGCACTTTCCACTGGCCACCTCAAAATAATATCACTTGTTCAGAACAGTGATTCCCATCATTTGTCAAAAGGACCAGCATGTTTGTCAAATCCTGAAGATGCATCTACTTCACTGACATATGCCGTATATAATTCACATTTTAGTAGGTGTCGTGACATGCCTACCTCATGTGTCGATACATGTAGCAATACTTCGGTTTATGATACATCAATTGATACAATCTGAGTCAGGTTACTTCATGAAATTCTCCATCTTGCATGTGGACCAGCTGACATAGAGGTTGATGCTGTCAGCCAGTTTGTGCTAACCACAGGGATTTTTAGCTGCACACAAGGCCGAGCCTGTAGGAAACAGGGGTCTTAAAAACTTTTTATTCTTTTGTGCACAGCCATCAATCCCTGTGACTTAACAACATTGCGGGTTTGTCAAGCTTATCTTAACCATCATAAAATCCTGCTTAGCATTTTTCTTGATAGGCAGTATGGTAATGCTATCCCCAGTTGCTGACAGATCAGGTTATTGCAAAACTTAAAAATAGATACATGGGCAGGTGTACTGTGTATCGCATAGTCAGGTTAACTGCACAATGCATTGTGAACAGTGACATTGTATATCTCAGTCTTAGGGAAAGTCTCAATGTCTTAAAGCAGTCAAGAAAACAACCTTAAACTTTCTTGAACATGTTGAATGGGACTGTTGGCAATGTTACAGCTATATCATGTATATTCTGTGACATGTCTGATGGTCAATATTTCACAGGTTTGTTCAAACTACATTCCTCTATGACCCCTCAATAAAATACAATAACAGCTGTATTTTGAGACCACCCCCAACTCATTTTCACCTGCGAGAACGAGTTGGCGGTGTGAGGTCATCACTTGGGATAAGGCTGTAGGATGTTTCATGCAAGCATGACCACACACGTATATTGTCTAAGTTTATTGTCATTTTACCTGTAAAAGTACCTTTTTTAGGCTAAACACAGTGTCAGTTAGGATAGGCTAGATTAGGAACATTTGCGTTACTTTAATGTATACATTTTCATAACCCTATGATTCGTATTTATTAATTGAAGTTGTTAAAGTGGTAGTGACAGATAGTGGTTAAAGTGTCAGCTCATAATGCTGAAGACCCAGGTTCTATTCCCCACCTAGGTATAATATATGAAGCCATTTCTGGTGTCCCCTGCCATTGGCATATTGCTAAAAGTGGCGTAAAATCATACTCACTTACACACAACACAACAAACTTCTAGCACTAAACACAACACCCTCAACCACTAATACTACTGAACCATGAACCAGTGTGACATATGGGGTGATGAGTGACAGCAAAATGATGGAGTCTTGACCTGGCAAACCAGTGTAGGTGGCTGATTGCAGGGTATGAAACTCCCAAAAATTTCAGCCAGACCACGGGACTGGCTAGCTGAAATACTTGCCAGCCCTGACCAAAACCTGCCTGCCCACTATAATCATATGTTTCTCAGGATAAGCTTACGGGGTTTCTTTTTGGTTACATTTTATCATTCATCTTTACATGTGAATTAATGCTTATCATCGGGAAATATTTTGAATATTTTCACATATGAAATATATCCCGACCGTCGGGCAGGGGGATTTGAAAATCTGGCAGCCGAGTTGAAATCAACCCGTCTCGAACGGTCGGGCAGGCAGGTATTTCGAACACTGCTGATTGCAACGACTATCTCTGTGAGGGGGTATTATGGGTAGGATATGGGAGGCAAGCAACAAGGTCACCAGGCCTGACCACCTGATCCATTCAGTTGCCTGTGGTGACAAGCTTGGGGTATCGGTACTTGAGATTAATTCTACCCTGTAATCTCCACCGTGAGCATCAGTGGACTGTAACATAGTCTGGCCAGGACAACCAGTGGTTGATAGCATGAGCAACGTTCCACACAGTCAGTGTATGATGGTACACCATCAACTTGATCATGCACATATTGGATACTGGAGACATATTGGATACAAGCTCTGAACTAAAATGATATCTGACAATATTAACTAAAGTGACAACAGACAAGATGCCCTCCAGGGCGGACACTCTATCCACTACACCATGCAGGCGGTCCACTGACAAGGTGAACTAAAGTGACAAGTGACAACATGAAGTGAAGTGACAAGAGACAACATGAACTAAAATGACAATTGACAACATGAAATATATAAAGTAACAAATGGAAACGTGAAATAATGTGACAACTTACAAGGTGCACTAAAGTGACAACTTCTTTGATAGGCATTTAGAAGTTGGAGTACTAAGTAAGGTGATCACTTGCTTGATAACGGTGTTAGAACCTACACCGAAACGTCGCTCTTAATTGTAATAAAGAAGTTGTTCATCCATACATTCTTATCCTTACAAAGTGACAACTGACAATGTGAACTAAAGTTACAACAGCCAAGATGAACTAAAGTGACAAGTGACAAGTGACAAGATGTATGCCTCACCTCTACTGACTGCTCTGCCTGCAAACATCATTAGTTTTGTTAGATGTGCTCAATGAAAAGGTTATGCTTTGGTTGCAAAATTGAGTCCATTATAATGGATTAGTCATCAATCAAATGAGATCCAAATGTGCTTCAAAGGTTACATGTACATAAATATATATAGGCAGATTTATTGACACGATAAAAATGTGCACATTATTTTTAGGCCAACACATAAATTTGCATTTGGTAGAAACTAAAATTAAGTGCTTTCAAATGTTTTCCCCCACTTTTTATTTTTGTGAGGTTGGTAGATCCAGAAACATTTTTGTTAAGTATCACCTAAGCAGCTGTAGTGACAAGAGTGTACCACCTTGACCACCCATTGCAGTAATTCTGTCTGAGAAATATAACGTCTTTCACCAGTGTGCAAACCTTTAGACACCCACCCACCTTCCATACATTGCAACCTTTATATCTCCTTTATATCACCTTCAGGCACACATGGCTCAAGGTACTTATTCTACAAAAGAGGGACTATTTTCCATGGTCCATAACCCATTTCCATTTAAGACCTTGATGCTATACTTTGTGCAAGATGTGGAACTGTTAGCGTGTAATTACAGTAATCATTAACTGTTAGATTGACATGCATCAGAAAATCTAAGGTTTCAAAGAGTCAAACTTACTGAGGGCTGCCAATAGTCTATACCTGTTTGACTAGAAAGCTCACCTTTAAGGATCTCCTTGTCTTGTTTTGTCTGCGCACGAAGTTCCCGCCACAGTTTGCCATCACCAACGTCACTCGCTATCCAGCCACCATAGTTGAAGTGAGAGGAGGAACTCGGGTCTTGGATATCTTGTATGATCACCTGCATAATATAGTTGTTTTGGTATTTTAAAGTCACACTCGGCGATAGTTCAGCATTAAACTAGTGATTGATATTATGAGCAATACTTCAGTATTGTCAGGAGACAATGACATACAATCAACTAAATCCTATCCAAACCATTTGTTGTTACCCTGTCTGGCGCTCGGCATTAAGGGGCTAAAACAAGGACTGGTCGGCTCGGAGTCAGTATACTGTGTCTGAGTGGGGTATTCATGTTAAACTGCGGCATGGTATCTCAGTGTGCTAGCACTATAAATCGTTATCAGTCCGGACAAGTACAAGCACCCCCACACACACACGTGCATGCACGTCACTATATAAGTGCAATAATCTTGGACGGGACGTTAAACCCCATTTCACCTCACCTCACGTCAGGATACAATGACATACAATCAACTAAATCCTATCCAAACCACTTGATCCACTACAGAACATAAATTTACAAATATAAAGAGTTGAGATGTGGCATCCATTCAGGTTCAGTTCATGAATGAGTGAGTTAGGAGATAAACATACTGTGTGTTCAATGTAGATCTATATCACTTGTGACCGCCTCCATGGTCTAATGGTAGAGCGTCCGCCCGGAGAGCGGAAGGTCCGGGTTCGATCCCCAGCTGCGTCATACCAAAAGACGTTAAAAGATGGTACTTGTTGTTAACCTGTCTGGCGCTCGGCATTAAGGGGCTTAAACAAGGACTGGTCGGCTCGGAGTCAGTATACTGTGTCTGAGTGGGGTATTCATGTTAAATTGCGGCATGGTATCTCAGTGTGCTAGCACTATAAATCGGCATCAGTCTGGACTAGTACAAGCAGCCACACACACACACACATACACGTGCATGCACATCGCTATATAAGTGCAATAATCTTGGAGGCGACATTAAACCCGATTTCACCTCACCTCACCTATATCACTTGTTGATTTAACCATGCTAAATTGAACTGGAACCAAACACACATCAAGCCTTGGATTTGTTTGTTTCTTTGTTGTTTAACACGTACTGCACTCAGCACTCTTCCCAAGGCAAAGGTGTTAACTGTCTATAAAAGTCAAGTTTCCACCCTTGCCAAACTAGGCTGGAATTCCTGCATTACATTTTGGCTGGACTAAAGAGTCTATGCATAGTCCAATCAAAATCCAGAAATGAACTGGACATCCGGTTTGTAAACAACATAGATTTCAATGTGCAGATTTTGGGTGACTGAAGGGTTTGCATAGCATGTCATCAACAGATATTTTGCAAACCTTTTTATTTTTTTAATCAAGGTGCTCAAGTGATTTGAGGCACCTGTTTTACTACAATTTAGATCTTGATTATCGATCAGATCGTCTTGACGCCGCCATTTTGTTTCAAGCAATGCAAGTGATATGAGAGGTGAGGTGAGGTGAAATTGGGTTTAATGTCGCGTCCAAGATAATTGCACTTATATAGCGACGTGCATGTACGAGTGTGAGTTTGTGTGGTTGCTTGTACTAGTCCGGACTGATGCCGATTTATAGTGCTAGCTCACTGAGATACCATGCCGCAGTTTATCATGAATACCCCACTCAGACACAGTATACTGACTCCGAGCCGACCAGTCCTTGTTTAAGCCCCTTAATGCCGAGCGCCAGACAGGTTAACAACAAGTACCATCTTTTAACGTCTTTTGGTATGACGCGGCCGGGGATCGAACCCCGGACCTTCCGCTCTCCGGGCTCTACCACAAGACCACGGAGGCGGTCAGTGTTATGAGAGATGGAATCTGAGTGGTCAGTTGGTGGGGACATAGAAGGGACGTAACTCACTAATAGCCACTGGTGGTGCTCAGATCGAGCCCAGAAGTTCCTGCCTTGTTCAGCAAGGGTGGAAACTGGCCTGTTACAGTCAGTTAACTCCCTTGACAAGGGAAGATGCCAGGAGGTCTGCATCCATGATTTGGTGTTCACTGCACCACTCTAACTGTTGTACATCAGGTGCCCTTTTACATGCCTTGCAAGGTCAAGATCAATCAAATGCCAAAATAGCGATGAAGCCAAGACTAAAAATATATCTTCAAAGATAAGGCATTATATGATGAGTTGTTCCCTGTAGTAAAATGTGAAGTGGCACAGTAGTTGATAAGTGCACGGAGGGCAATAGAATGCAAAAATGCATATAATACTATTGCTTTTTCAACTGGGAATCACATAGACTTCAGAAATACCTATCTTTATAAGAACAGTTAAATACCGTAAATCTGAAAAGTTTTGCGAACAGGAAAGTACTGCTAAAATTGTGAGTCAGACACATTTGCAAAAGTTCCATAACACAGTTATTTTATGCAGACAAACAACCAAAAAACGTGTACATCTCCCCGAGGCAAGGGAGTTAACTGATTATAAAAGTCCAGGTCCCACCCTTGCTGAACTAGGCTCCAATTTTGGAGTTACATTTTGGCTGAGTTTTTGCATAGTCCACTCAAAATCATGCAATGAACTGGACATCTGGTTCGTAAACAACATGGATTTCAACGTTAAGATTTCATCGACTGCAGGATTTGAAAAGCATGGGAGTTGACAGATATTTTGCAAATTCTTTAATGCTTTTTATTTAAGGTGCTCAAGGGATTTGATGCATTTCGTGGGGTAAGACCCGTTTTATTACAATAAAAATCTTGATTATCGAGCAGATCATCTTTGACTGGGTGCCGCCATTTTGGTTTGAAGCAAATGCAAGTGATATGAGAGATGAGATGCCCTAGAAACTCTCAGGAGCCAAGCTACCGAACGCGGTCATCCATCCAAAGACTCTCCGCTACCGACATGATAACTTCACCTGATTTGTGACCTGTGCGCTGTGCGCTGTGCATAGGACCACATGCCAAAACTTTCCAGATTTACAGTACTCTGAACAGAGCAAGTGACATCCAGGCAGAAATAACAGTTCATAAAGCGAAGCATTTGCTGTTTTGCAAGAATTGACTTTTTATATCCAATCCTCACCATGCTAGAATCAGCTGGTTATGCCACACACAAGAATTTAACGCTAACTTGCATCAAGAATTTTACCTTATTTAGGTTCCATCCAGCCGCCAAGCCTGACCCATCATGCTCAATTCTGAAATGAGAACAATGAGGAATGAGTGCAAGTGATGCTTCATGGATGCTTTCACTCAGACCCTGAAGGATATGTACATTCAAAATTGGCATGTTTCCTTATCAGTATCCAAGAAACTATCAAGTTATTCCCTCTTTAAAAACAGCTTCTGTGGAGAGCAACACTTATTAGATGTGACACTAAAAACATTTCGAATCAGATGTGGTTCACATGAACTCTTTACTGAGACGGGAAGATATATGGGGATTGTGAGAGAACACAGAATTTGTCAGTTTTGTGATTTAAACAATGTAGAAAATGAATACCATTTCTCACTACTTTGTCCGTTGTATGCTAAACTCAGAAAACAGTTCATTGATAAATATTATATCTGTTATCCAAGTCTACAGAAAATTGTTACAATAATGTCAAGTAAGAATGTAGTAATAACGAAAAAGCTGTCAATGTACATATTGTATGCTATGAAGCTGAGAAGCTCCAAATGTGTTACCTTATAAATGTATATACACCCATTACTATGTAACATGTACTATAGGCCTATGGCCTCTCAGTATTATGAATAAACACATACGAGTAAAAGTGTGAGTGAGTTGGGGTTTAACACTGTTTTAAACAGCATATAGGCTATCATGGTATGTCAGCTTGTGGGAAAGATGAGTGAGTGAGTGAGTTGGGTTTAACGCCGCTTTTAACATTATTCCAGTTATATCACGGCGTGTCAGCTTAATGTGGGAGGAAAGCCCGAAGTGGCGCAGGTCTCAGACATTTACCACTTCGGTGAAACCCACGAGCACGGGTATGGTGCTGGCAAACCTAGAAACATAATTGGGGCGAACCGGGATTCGAACCCACAATCATAGGTTTCTGGCGTGCCCAAGGGACGCAACTCTGCACAGCGAATCGCGGCGCCTTAGACGACTGGGCCACCCGTGCCCCTGTGGGAAAGATGAAAGGGAGGCAGATTGTAGAATTGTGTATAACCAAATATATTATCTAGATTCGGCTCTGTGGTTTTAAATGATAAAGGTTCATTTTCACAGAAACTACGGTAACTGCAGTAAAACCTGCATATTGACTGATATTAGATTTTAAAAAAATACATAACTCTAAAGATTCTTTATGCATTAATAAGCAATACTTGGCTACTCAACCACCCAACCCATCCATCCATCAACTCACTCAGCAATTCACTCCCTCACTCATAAACCAGCCCAATCTCCCATCACTCAAGTCATTGTCAGGCAGGTCAGGCCATTTTCTTCATGAGATAAACCTCCCAATTCCATTGAAGCATACATGTAACATACACAGTGTTTACAACATTACCTGATTCTTTTAATTTCGCCAATATCTTTGACCTTGAACTTGAACTTGTCTTCACTGTTCCGCTCAAAGCGTTTTTTGTTTTTGTCATCGGGGAGGTGCAACTTGGGACTCATCCCGGACTTGCCGTAAAGCGTCAAATACACACGCGCATCTGTCCCTGCCAACTTCTTGTGCCCAGTTATCACAGTGACCTCCAGTTCTGTAAAGTTGGGAAAATTGCCAATCAAATATACCACTTTTAGATCTGACCTAGCGGCATATTTCTGCACATACACTGGATCCCCGCTTACCTGGACCCCAGATACCCGGAAACCTCACCTCACAATCTATATTAGGGTAAAATGAAATAAATGATCCATAAAATGCTTCTTTTATCCAGAAATCTGGATTCAAGATCTGGACAGTAAATGTGTTCCAACATCAGCAGGTGAACTGTGTGTCACTTTGAAGTCTAAGTGCAACAATGGTCCAATTTGCTTGGTGGATTATGAATTACCAAGGTTCTCTGCATTGTGTACATAAAATTACTGAATGTATTATACTTTTACTGAAAATGCTATGTGTAAAAATTATAACAGTCAAAATGTTTTTATACCAAAGGTATTTTTTTAGAGAATGTAAAAAGAGAAACTAAATTGTGTATCCAAGACAAAACAAAGAATAACAGGAGAGAGTGAGTTGACTTCAACACTGCTTTTTACAGTATTCCATGTGTCTGCCTAATGTGGGAGGAAGCCTGAAGTGATGCTCCACCTGGTGAAACCCACAAGAACAGGAATGGTGCTGACAAACCTAGAAACATATCAGAGTTAACCAGGATTCCAAACCTCAATCACAGGTTTTTAGCATGCCCAAGGGAAACAACTCTGCACAGCCAATTTGCCACGCCTTGGACGAATGGCCACCTGTGCCCCAAATGTACAGGGTTCTTCATTTTGCCAGGAAAAAGATGCAAGACTGTTGATGAGGCAGTATGAATACTTGGTTACTCATTCACCCATGAACTCATCTTACATACTTGGTCTTATCAGGTCGGAGAGTTTCCATATCAGGTGTTTGCACCATGTTTATTCAATGAGTGTTTTTTTAAAAAAATTGGCACAGAAAGCCTTCTGGAATCACCTCCAGTAGTTTAATTTTTTGTGAAAGTTTGCATCTCCTTGAGGCAAGGGAGTTAACTGGCTGTAAAAGTCGAGTTTCCACCCTTGCCAAACTAGGTTGAAATATGGAGTTATATTGACATCCATTGCCGTGCAGATTTAGGTTGATTACAGGATTTGTACAGCTTGTGTACTAGGGCTGGCTGGGACAGGTAACTCGGGTACCCGGGTCGGGTGGGTATTGAGTAGGACCCGGGTACACACAGGACTACCTGGACCCGTGGTCAGTCACGTGATTATATTGTTTAATGGCAAAAATTATCTAGAACTCTATGGTTACACTATAAGTGATAAATGTTCACATTTCTTTCTGACTTTGTGCACATTCCTTCTGACTTTATATGTTTGCATAATGATAAAACATCTGTCAACTTCAGTGTATGCATGACCAGATCAGTTGATACGTGTATCTAAATTTATTTTGACAGGAGTACGGTCAAACTATTCCCAATCGGACATGTTTCACCTATCTCTTGAGACCAACAGCGGGTAACCAGGTAGGGTCAGGTAATAATAGGGGGTTGGGTACCCGGGTAGTAAACTTGGACTCATCCCAGCCCTAATGTGTACGACCAACTCGGCGTCAACAGACATTTTCCAAACCTTTACATGTTATTAATGATAGTGTTTACATGATTTGATGCACTTGGCAAAGTAAGACCTGTTTTATTACAATATACACTGTAGATCTTGATCATAGATCAGATCGTCTTGACTGGGTGTTTTTTTGTTTAAAGCAAATGGAAGCAATATAAGAGGTGGGAGAGGTAGAATCTGATTGGTCAACAGGAGGAACATAGAAGGGACATAACTCGTAATAGCCACTGGTGGTGCTACTATACAGTCCAGAAATTCCTGCCTTTTTAGGCAAGGGTAGAAATTGTAAGTTTACAGTAAGTTAATTCCTTTGCCACGGGAAGATGGTTAGTTTGATGCCTAAGAGCGAGAATCATTTGAATTCGGCCATTTGCATGGTGGATATAAGATAACAATGACATGGCCTGTTTTGAAGGAGGTAAGATGAACCAGCATACCTCGTTCTACCTTCTCCTTGAGTGCAGCCTCAATGTCTCGCTTGATCCGAAAGTCGGAGTGGTGTAGCGACAGCCAGTTGTTGCACACAAACATCCACGACTGGTCAGTCAACATGTTAGTGATCACTATATGTTCCAGGTACCATGCATGCTTCTTCTCCAGGCCGTCATGCTGGACACAGGGAACAAGTAGTCAGTGTTGCAGCTTTGGGAAATACTAGCAGTGTCACAGTGTCAGATTATAGGTAAATACAAGCAGTGTCAGATTACAGGTAAATACTAGCAGTGTCACAGTGTCAGATTATAGGTAAATACAAGCAGTGTCAGATTACAGGTAAATACTAGCAGTGTCACAGTGTCAGATTACAGGTAAATACTAGCAGTGTCACAGTGTCAGATTACAGGTAAATACTAGCAGTGTCACAGTGTCAGATTACAGGTAAATACTAGCAGTGTCAGATTACAGGTAAATACTAGCAGTGTCACAGTGTCAGATTACAGGTAAATACAAGCAGTGTCACAGAGTGAGATTATAGGTAAATACTAGCAGTGTCACAGTGTCAGATTACAGGTAAATACAAGCAGTGTCACAGTGTCAGATTACAGGTAAATACTAGCAGTGTCACAGTGTCAGATTACAGGTAAATACTAGCAGTGTCAGATTACAGGTAAATACTAGCAGTGTCACAGTGTCAGATTACAGGTAAATACAAGCAGTGTCACAGAGTGAGATTATAGGTAAATACAAGCAGTGTCTGATTACAGGTAAATACTAGCAGTGTCACAGTGTCAGATTACAGGTAAATACTAGCAGTGTCACAGTGTCAGATTACAGGTAAATACTAGCAGTGTCACAGTGTCAGATTACAGGTAAATACTAGCAGTTTCACAGTGTCAGATTACAGGTAAATACAAGCAGTGTCACAGAGTGAGATTATAGGTAAATACAAGCAGTGTCAGATTATAGGTAAATACTAGCATCACAGTGTCAGATTACAGGTAAATACTAGCAGTGTCAGTGCCAGATTACAGGTAAATACTAGCATTCTCACAGTGTCTGATTACAGGTAAATACTAGCATCACAGTGTCAGATTATAGGTAAATACTAGCATTGTCACATTGTCTGATTACAGGTAAATACTAGAATCACAGTGTCAGATTACAGGTAAATACTAGAATCACAGGGTCAGATTACAGGTAAATACTAGCATTGTCACAGTGTCTGATTACAGGTAAATACTAGCATTGTCACAGTGTCTGATTACAGGTAAATACTAGCATTGTCACATTGTCTGATTACAGGTAAATACTAGAATCACAGTGTCAGATTACAGGTAAATACTAGCATTGTCACAGTGTCTGATTACAGGTAAATACTAGCATTGTCACAGTGTCTGATTACAGGTAAATACTAGAATCACAGTGTCAGATTACAGGTAAATATTAGCATTGTCACAGTGTCTGATTACAGGTAAATACTAGCATTGTCACAGTGTCTGATTACAGGTAAATACTAGCATTGTCACATTGTCTGATTACAGGTAAATACTAGAATCACAGTGTCAGATTACAGGTAAATACTAGCATTGTCACAGTGTCTGATTACAGGTAAATACTAGCATTGTCACAGTGTCTGATTACAGGTAAATACTAGAATCACAGTGTCAGATTACAGGTAAATATTAGCATTGTCACAGTGTCTGATTACAGGTAAATATTAGCATTGTCACAGTGTCTGATTACAGGTAAATACTAGAATCACAGTGTCAGATTACAGGTAAATGCTAGAATCACAGTGTCAGATTATTTTAGAGGTAACATTATTTTTCAGGGCATTATCATTTGTAGAAGCCAGAGATCTTCCATTAACTGGCTGACAAAGGCTGAAAACGTCATATGACGTCACTATTGAACATCAATATGATGTCACCTAGCAACGGGCGTGATAATGCCCTGTTGTCAAACAATATGAGGGCATTATCAGGTTACAGAGGACGCTCATTTCTGATAACATGTGGGCGGTATAATGATAATTCAATCCATTTTACCTATAAAAGTAAATACTGGCATCACAGTGCAGATTAAAGGTACTATTTATACTAGCAGTGTCACGGTGTCAGATTATAGGTAAATAATAGCAGTGTCAGTGTCAGATCAAGATAAGACTATCAACAAAATATTTCAGAGAAAACAAAAATATCATTAAATGTTGCAAGAACATGAAAATTTGATAATCACAGTACAATTAAATAATCCTAATACATGAACGCATCTATACATTCAGGCTGGAATAGTTACTGAAAAGACCTTACAAAATATAAATTTATACAAAAATACAAACAAAAAGAAATTATAAAAGTATACAATACAATTATATATTTCAATTTTACATTAGGTATTTCACAAAAATTTATATAGGCTTGTCTATGAACAAAGAACACAAAATAACCTGAGCTGAATGATATACAATACATGTTGAAATAGTGTTCCTCCATTTGTCTTACCTCTATCGTGATGTAGGTGAGATTTCCTACGCGTGGACCTTTGTAGAAAAATGTTTCCGTGGTGCCCCTCATAAAACAAAACATGGACGACCCTCGACCTTTCTTCAGCTGTGTACGTGCTGTATCTTCACTTCCATGTAAACTTATGTGAACCTGCAATAGTGAACCTGCAATAGTGAACCTGCAATAGTGAACCTGCAATAGTGAACCACAAGACAGTGAATGGTGAGGGATTTGGTTTGAGATAGGGGCTTAATGCTGCTTTGATCAGTATCTCATTTAGGCTTAAGCCACTGGTGGCGCTACGATCGAGCCCAGGAATTCCAGCCTCGTTCGGCAAGGGTGAAAACTGGACTTTTAGGCTAAAAAAAATAATAGTCTTGGTTCTCAGACACTGCCAGCATCATCATAAAGTCTGCTGCATGTTTTGTTTTTGTTTCCATTTGAAAAAAAAAATCATAATATTTAAAAAGAATGTGATTCAATAATACACGCAGTTCCTTCCTTTTACATGCACACTGCTTTACTGCACATCTCATATGTTATGGTTATGGCGGCAAAATGAGTTTGTATGCTTGTTTATGCAGGGAGCCCCTTTCCCAGGTTGATGGTACACAACTGTTTATTTGGTTACATTCTAGTTTGAACAAGCAAAAATAAACAAACCACCACACGCCTGCACCAGACTTTCAAAAGTCATTGCCTGAGAACTAGGATTAGGACGGGTTAGGATGGGTTAGGACGGGTAACAGGTCTTACTTTGTTAAGTGCATCAAATCATGTGAACACCTTGATTAGAAACATGAAAAGAATTGGAAACAATCTGTTGACTCGGAGTTGACGGTACACATGCTTTACAAATCCTGCAGTCAACCGAAATCTGCATTGCAGTTGACCAACTGATGTCAATTTCGTTACACGATTTTGATTGGACTATGCAAAGACTCGTTAGTCCAGCCAAAATGTAACTCCATAATACCAGCCTAGTTTGACAAAACTGGACTTTAATAGTCAGTCAACTCCCTTGCCTTGGGCAGATGGTATCACAATAGCCAGCTTCTTGTCATCACAACACCTCCAGTGTACTTAAATGAATCCTCTCCTGTTAATCTTATTGGCTTCGTCATTATGTTGTTATCTGTCTACATTAATCCTATCTCATTGGCTTTGTCATTATATTGTTTTCTTTGATAACATGATACATTATAATCTCAAATCATGGATCAAGCCCTGTCAACCCCATATTCCCGAGGCAAGAGAGTTAACTGACTATAAAAGTCCAGTTTCCACCTTGCCGAACTAGGCTGGTATTATGGAGTTACATTTTGTCTGGACTAACGAGTCTATGCATAGTCCAATCAAAATCGTGCACTGAAATCGAAATCTGGTTCGTAAACTGTCGTGCAGATTTTGATCGATTGCAGGATTTGCAAAGCATGTGCACCGCCAACTCGTTGTCAGCAGATATTTTCCAAATTCTTTCATGTTTTTAATCAAGGTGCACATGTGATTTGATGCATTTCGCAATGTAAGACCCGTTTTATCACAATATATATCTTGATTATCGATCAGATCGTCCTGACTGGGCGCAACCATTGTGTGTGAAGCAAACGCAAGTGATACAAGAGGTGGAATCTGATTGGTCCATAGGAGAGTGAGTGAGTTGGGTTTGACGCCGCTTTTAACAATATTCCAGTTATAAAATGGCTTGTCAGCTTAATGTGGGAGGAAAGCCCGAGTGATGCAGGTCTCAGACATTTACCACTTTGGTGAAACCCACGAGCACGGGTATGGTGCTGACAAACCTAGAAACATAATCGGGCAAACCGGGACTCGAACCCACAATCATAGGTTTCTGGCGTGCCCAAGGGACGCAACTCTGCACAGAGAATCGCGGCCCCAAGTCCATAGGAGAGGCTTAGAAGGGACAATACTGGTAATAACCACTGGTGGCGCTACGATCGAGCTCAGTAATTCCAGCCTATTTCGGCAAGGGTGGAAACTGGACTTTTAAAGTCAGTTAACTCTCTTGCCTCGGGAAGATGTGTCAACCCATGTCAATCCTTAATTTACCCGACACAGACCCCCATGGGGACCCAGGGTAGAACGTGTCCCCAGCACCCTATTGCTTAGTCTAAGTTCTAAATTTAGGCAACTAAAATGGAAACCCTTTGGGATTCAAGAAGCATCTTAATGGATGGTGTGAGTAAGCTTGGCGACATAGTTGATGGTGTGTCAATGTATCTCGAAGACGTGGATCGTTGCTCACGATGTCATTACCTGGACTGTCTGGTCACAGGCTATAGCTGTAATATAGCTGAGCAGTGTTAAACAACAAATACACACATCACACAGTTGGTCATGATGTATAGTTGTAAGATAGTTAACTCTGGTATAAAACTACATTCACTCACAAACTTAAAAAAATACTGACCGCCTCCGTGGTCTAATGGTAGAGCGTCCGCCTGGAGAGCGGAAGGTCCGGGGTTCGATCCCAGGCCGCATCATAACAAAAGACGTTAAAAGATGGTACTTGTTGTTACCCTGTCTGGCGCTTGGCATTAAGGGGCTAAAAGAAGGACTGGTCGGTCTGGAGTCAGTATACTGTGTCTGAGTGGGGTATTCATGTTAAACTGCGGCATGGTATCTCAGTGTGCTAGCACTATAAATCGTCATCAGTCCGGACTAGGACAAGCAGCCACACACACATACACGTGCATGCACATCGTTATATAAGTGCAATAATCTTGGACGCGACGTTAAACCCCATTTCACCTCACCTACAAAAATACTGGACAGTGAGTGATGTGTGAGTGTAATTCAGTTATATCACAGCATTACTAGAAAACTATAGAATGATCTCCAGATCAAATATTGGCCTACACAATAACTCATTTTGTTAAAAGGACTTACATTTGCACTAGTTCCTGCATTTCCCTTCACTCCTGTCACCACGACAATGCGGTATAAAATCTCTGCAACTGCCGTTGGCTCTTCGACCTTCACCTTGACTCGTGGCGGAGGAGCAACATAGTTGATCCTCGGTTTTCGTGGCTTCATAGATCTTTTGACCGGCCTCTGTTGAAACAAACTTATTGTTATGGAAAATAGATATGATTTGAATGACAACCATGAATTACAGCACTGCAAATGACACAAATTTGCAAAGTCCGATTTTTCTTTGTTTCTGGTCTATGTATTTTGTACATTTTTAAACCCATTTTTTACATCTGCCCTCAATTTAAAAAACATAACTTTAATTTCATGCCCAACATCGATCACAACCAATAATTACTTCAAAGTTTATTGCACGAGATTATTCTTGAAGATCTGTACAGCAAGTATTCCCAAGCGACTATGAATGGATTTGTCACATCAGCAATGAAACTCCAAGGCAAGACGTTTTATAATGGATTTGCATATTTCACCTACTCTAAAAATATAATAACTGAAAACAAAAAATGATCTGAAAAGCATCATTTTTTGTCATTGTGCATACAACAGGCAAACTGCAAAACAATTGCTTATAGAAGGATAAACAATGTATGACAACACATTCAGATCCAAATTTGAAGGAAACAAATTATTTCCAAACAATTATTTTTCCCACCTGACATTTCACAATTCTTAAAACACAGGTTAACAAACAACTATGGTAAAAAGTCACCTGAATTTTTTTCCATAAGAGTCAAAATTCACTTGCGTTTCCTTCTGCCTTTTCAGATAATCGGCACCCCAATACGTGGATCCAACATTCTTGTATCGATACTAGCGCCATACCACAACTTACGAGGAATCAGAGAAACCAGGCTTTCAGAAGAATGCATGTTGTTAGTGACCTGGTATCGTTGCTGTAATCTGTAGATGGTTTTCGCATGGACATTAAATGCATTGGCAACCATTTGTGCAGTCTGGCCAGCAGTTGTACCGATACAAGAATGTTGGATCCACGTCTTGGGGTACCATTTTTCATGGAAAGCATTCAGGACTTTGTACCATGGTCATAAGCTGCGTTTTGCAACCCACATATCCACATATTTTTCTCACTTTTTGGCCGTTAACATTAAATTTGGATACAGTCTAATGTCAAAAATGAGATAACTCCAAACAATGCATTGATATTTCATTTGGAAACTTACATGAAGTGATGTTTCTTTAGCAGTTCAGCATAGTTGCTCTGAATAAGAGCTAGGGCTGAATGCAAGATAAATGCAGAAAAAACATATTGTTTACTCACAGAATTAAGTAGGTGTCTTTGATGTTCCTCCAATGTAGAACACAGGTAGCAGAAATTATGTGGAACTGTAACAAGAAAACATAATCCTTATATTCTTAATGTGGGAATTTTAGGTTAGAACAAGTCTCTAGCAAACTATACTGGTTGTAAGAGGCAACTTTCTGGCGGGGTGACATGGTTGGTTATCTTCACACTCTGACAGCAAGGATTGTCGCTCATAATATCAATCACTGGATTGTCTGGTCCAACTTTGATTTTTTTACAAGCCACTGTTATAAAGCGGAAATAATGCTGAGTGCAGTGTAAAACAAAATTTGACATACTTCCCCGGCCCCCATGGTGGTCTGAGCACCATAGCCCCTCATGCTTCTTGGACATTTCATTGGCAGTGTGAAAGTGATTTGAGTCTAAATTTATGCAGACATTGCTATAATTTGTGCACAGGGATACTGATATTTCAGAATTGATGCTATAAATAACAGTGTGAACATATTGCATCTATTTAACATGGTGTATGATATTACTGTGCCTAGGGAGAAGATACATGCACACCCTCATGCATATCAAACTTAAGATTTAAGTGACAAAGTTTGTTTGAGGAATTCTGTTTGGTCCAACTGTCAATCTACTCCTTAATTTGATACACCAATATCTGTTTACATTCTTCAGGCAGGAGGATAAACTAATGGGACAAAACCTTGTGAAGGTTGAATTGTTACCAAAATACACTTGAAATATACATAATTAACATCAGCATATAATTGTTTAGATTAGAACATAAATACAATAATACAATCAAAATTATTAATGTTCATGCTCTTAATCCCGCTCCCCCACCTCCCCCTCCCCCTCCCTCTATTAAAAAAGACGAAAATTTTTAAATGGAATACAATCTGGTCAAGCAACCAAGTTGAATGGGACGTCCCGGTCTACACGAACATTCAGCTCACATTTTCCTGAATGCCAAAGTCTAAACGAACATTCAGCTCATATAATCCTGAATGCCACAGTCTACACGAACATTCAGCTCACATTTTCCTGAATGCCACAGTCTAAACGAACATTCAGCTCATATGATCCTGAATGCCACAGTCTAAACGAACATTCAGCTCACATAATCCTGAATGCCCTGGTCTACACGAACCTTCAGCTCACATAATCCTGAACGCCCTGGTCCACACGAACCTTCAGCTCACATAATCCTGGATGCCCTGGTCTACACGAACCTTCAGCTCACATAATCCTGAACGCCCTGGTCTACACGAACCTTCAGCTCACATAATCCTGAATGCCCTGGTCTACACGAACCTTCAGCTCACATGATCCTGGATGCCCTGGTCTACACGAACCTTCAGCTCACATAATCCTGAATGCCCTGGTCTACACGAACCTTCAGCTCACATAATCCTGAACGCCCTGGTCTACACAAACCTTCAGCCCACAAGATCCTGAATGCCTGGTCTACACGAACCTTCAGCTCACATAATCCTGGATGCCCTGGTCTACACGAACCTTCAGCTCACATAATCCTGAACGCCCTGGTCTACACGAACCTTCAGCTCACATAATCCTGAACGCCCTGGTCTACACGGACCTTCAGCTCACATAATCCTGGATGCCCTGGTCTACACGAACCTTCAGCTCACATAATCCTGAACGCCCTGGTCTACACGAACCTTCAGCTCACATAATCCTGAACGCCCTGGTCTAAAACCTTCAGCTCACATTATCCTGAACACCCCTCTATTGACACAGTTAACTATTTACTTACCATAAACACGACACATGTTACAAAATATTATTTTTCTATCAAATATTTGTGTGTGACACAAGGATGTTTTTGGTGACTGCCATCAAACTTTCTTTTACCATGGTAACTTGAAGTGCGGACAGAAGTCTTAGATTATCTAACGAGTACTGATAATATAACCTTGGTATAAAGAGTGAGTGAGTGAGTTGGGTTTAACGCCGCTTTTAACAGCATTCTAGTTGTATTGAAGCGTGTCAGCTTAATGTGGGAGGAAAGCACGTCTCAGATGTTTACCACTTTGGTGAAACCCACAAGCACAGGTATGGTGCTGACAAACCTAGAAACATAATCGGGGCGAACCGGGATTCGAACCCACAATCATAGGTTTCTGGCGTGTCCAAGGGATGCAACTCTGCACAGCGCATCGCGGTGCCTTAGACGACTGGGCCCCCCGTGCCCCCCTTGGTATAAAGAAATTCCTTGGCATACAGAGAGTACAACAAAGACTAGGACCTGTGTTGGAGGCTACTGTGACATTCTCGCTGGCCAGGCTGCACGTTGACTGAGAAGCCAGAGACTGCATGGAGCCAAACGAGGCAAACATCACCCCTGGATCATGCCAGGACACTTTCTCCTTGTCAGGTGCAGTCACTGGATGTGCTTGAGCTGGAAACATGCAGGATGTGGATCTAGGTTGACATGCAGTGACTACATCTACTAGAAACATAATGACACTTTTTTTAAAACAAACAATTTGTTCCATACAAAATACTGGAAAATATACTTTGCCTCAGGTTAAAATAACAAAAACTGTTCACTGAATGTTCTGAAATAAAAAGTGTTGTGAAATAAAAGAAAACTGTTCTCCTTCTTTCAGAGAAAAAGTGTACATTTTGAAGAAGTGACCCAAAATCATATGGCTCTCATGGAATAAACAGCAGTTTAAAGTGAGAATGTATAAGCACATATGAGCTATATACTAGTAGCAATAATAATAATAATAATAATAATAATAATAATAATAATAATAATAATAATAATAACAACAATAATAATAAAAATAATAATTATAAACTGGTATTATATACATACACAAAAGCATGACTAGTATTAATAATATTAATAAATATAGTACCAAAACATTGACAAAATTTTAATAAAGAAGTTGATCATCCATACTACCTTGCCATTAGTTCAAAAACAAACACTTCTACAATCTTCATTTTTTGTATCATGCTTAAACAATTTAAACTGTGTCATATATTGTGATACATATCTTAATGTGAGGTAGGTGCATATATTGTGACATCACTAAAATTACATACATATATTAAAATTTGAAATCTAAAATTACATACATATATTATACTTTAAAATTCAACAAGTACCCCACTTGAAATATAGTAATAGTCATGAAATACTCAAACATGCAAAGGGTTTCATGTCATCAAAGGATACAGTGAGTTTCATGTGTTGCAGGAATTCTGCATGTTTGATGTCATATTTTCACAAAACTCTATTTATCTCATAACAATAGTAAGATGTTTAATGTGTCATCATTGATGCAACATTTTGAAGAGAGATGGCTACTGATCACTGCTGATTGTGTGGTTTGTGTATTAAATTACACTTGTGATCATGGTGATGCCTCATAAACCACAAATTGAAAACAACATAAAAACATAGAAATATCACAATGTGAAAGCGAATGAAGAGCGTATTTTTCTTCATCATGGTTACAAATAATTACATTTGTTTTGTCAATAAAAAAGCCACCACACTCATGTATTTGTCTGATGACTACAAAACCAAATAAACTACGGTTATAACGAACACGCTCATAACGAAATGACGGATATAATGAACTTATTTTTTTGGTCCCGACTATTTGCTGTAGTTATGCTGTATATATACTTATAACGAACTACAGTTATAACAAACTAAAATTAGTAGTCCCTTTGAGTTCGTTATAATCGTAGTTTACTGTATGTTAAGTCACAAATTATATTTTTGTACTCTGAGATATCAATTCCTTTGTGAAAGCCTGACACAAATTTATGGAAAGAATAACACTAAAAACAATAGTCAAATATGACTCAAGAATGAACAAGGCAGCAAGAAAAACATGTCATTCTAACTTATTGTGAAGTAAGACTTCCGACCGTACCCTTTCTACAAAATTTATATAATGAAAAGGCTTGAACTGCAATGCATTGGGGATATTAGCCAAGAGCCGTGATGGGGTCTAACTGTCGGACCCCATCGCGGCGCTCGGCTAAGGAGGGGGAGGGGGGAGGGGGGAGAGGGGATTAATACGGGAGGAAGTCTTTCCACGATTTATACCTGAAGCCGGTCTGCTGTCTAGATGCCAGTGTGGAATCCCGTATTCTATACAAGGGTCCACTCTTGTCATGGAAGATTTTATCCGCATTATATTGTTCTCTGTTTTCCGACACAAGTTTTGCAAACCGTCCCCATACATTTGAGTGTTGATCGGCCCTGCCCATGTCGCGTGAAGATCGTCGCTAGCTCGCTCTCCGACCACCATGTACTGAGGTTTTCTTTTCCATATCTGTGACGCCATATTTACTGAGTTTCTGATAACAAGTATAACACTTCTAACAAGTTGTATTATTCAAATTGTCTTTTGAAGCGTCGAGCGAGCACCTTGCTGCCTTTCTTCACGCCATGATGTTTACTTCCGTTTCCTAGGTACGACAGTTCCTTGTTATGATACACGCGCGTTTACTTAAAAGAGTTATCTCCCTTCGCAAAACATAATCATTCAGTATACGTGTGCAGATATTTTACCAAGGGTAATGTTACGTACAAGTTGAAAAGTTCAGACTTTGTGTAGATTCAGAATTTCCGGAAAGGAACATATTTTATCTTATTTTAAAGTGAATGTTTCTAAATTAGAAAAAGCAAAACGCTGAATATTTCGTCTAAGCATCATATACTAGCAATTTAGCAATAACGTTGGTTATTCTCTTTATGTCAGATTACTGAGCGTTTTCTTACACAGGGGACACATGACAAAAATAAATCACGTGAGAAATCGAACCCGGAGATTTTACCTGCCATATCAATCATGATTAACTATCTATGAATGGACTCCGTGCACACGGACGCAAGCTTAACAAAATACTATTTTTATAATAAAAAAACTATGTTTTTATCTATCAAGACAACGAAACGGTTATTACACATATCTATCTCCTGTTATAATGCGATGATTGAATGCTGAACATTTTATTTCTCAGGACATCATACAAGACTTAGTGTTCGTAAGGTTTTCAAGTAAATTTATATAAATATGTCATATTTCCTCTGATTAGCATCCAGCCGCCAGAACCGGCGCTGACTATTTCACACACTGTGTTGCATAAGCTACATCACTAATAACTTAACATACAATAGAGTTTTATGTTCTTGATACAGAGTTTACTTCAACATAGAGATCGAACGTGAACATAGTAATGAATCTTGCAACAAAAAACACGTATGTGGAGTTAACCAAAGAAGTAAAACATTGAGAATTAATTCAAACATACCCAGTGCTTATTAGAGATCCGGCGCTTATTGTGTTATACGCTGCTCCTCACCCGGTACTTAAGGAGGTTTGCGCTTATTCGGGGAAATACGGAGTCTCCCTGGTTTTAACAAAGTCGTAAATGCCCTAGGCCTGCATTACGCTGGGCTTTTCTCACATATTAAGCTCAGAAGTAGCTACGTTTATTGCAAGTTACATACATGATTTCACATATATGCACAATATTACACACTGATGAGTTCAAACCTGTAAAGATGCGGGTAGATATCATCTTCCAGAGGCAACAGCGTACACTTGCCTTGTAGAAACTAGGCTTTGATATAGCCTAGTGGACATGCTTGCCTCGGAAAGATTGGTAGAGAATGGGTTTTCAGCAACCTACGCTTGCCGTAAGAGGCTTCTAACGGGATCGGATGGTCAGGCTCTCTGACTTGGTTGATGCATGTCCTCGTATCTCAATTTCGTAGATCGATGCTCATGATGTCAATCACTGGATTGTCTGGACTAGACTATTTACAGACCGCTGTCATATTGCTGAGTGTGGCGTTAAACAACAAACAAATAAAGTAATGATTTCGACTGAATGCTGGTATATCCTCATTTATAAGACAAGGACCAGCCAGCCACATTATCGCAAAATCAATCTCATTGAAATCAGATCTTAGTTCTCGCTATCACGAAACAAAGCAGCGGGAACTTAGGTCTGATTTTAATGATATTGTCGCAAAATTGTCTTCAGACAGGGAATCCTTTTTTATATCATGGAGTCTTTTTATACATACTCTCTTTTTATGTAGACCTCCTGCTACAAACAATAATCATGATCAGTCATAGTTGATGATAAAGATGTAATGTTGACAACGCGATGCGATATGATTTCATATTTGTAACGTGTAATATATGAAGAACATTACAAATGTGTGTGCGACCGATCGATGATCTGGGATTGAACCAACGATCATCGAATCCTGGCACTGCTAAGAGACGCAAATCTGCACAGCGAATTGTGCCTCAGGCAACAGGGACACCCGTGCAATTAATTCGTGTATACGTTCGAGTATCAGTTTTGCCATTTATTTATGTATACGAGTATCGGTCTTGCTAATTTATTCGTGTATACGAGTATCAGTCTTGCTAATTTATTCGTGTATACGAGTATCATTCTTTTTTAATTTATTCGTGAATAGGAGTATCACTTTTGCCATTCGTGTATTCGATCAAGTATCAGTTTTGCCATATATTCGTGTATACAAATATCCGTTTTCATATATTCGTGTGTACAAGTATCAGTTTGGCCGTTTGCTCGACTTGTTCAGTCATTAATTCCTTACGTGAAGTGAACTGTAACCTATTAACTCTGTATTATATTTCAAATCCAGTAAACAGGTCTAATATGTTTGGTCGGGTGTTATGCTGAAAGCAAATTTACACATTAAGAACAATATTTACTAGCAGTGGCATGTGGGCATTTATAATAACCACATGCTAAACTTGGACTTTCAAACCAGTTTTGATAGCTTGGTTTGGACATTTCCCAGGGAGATGAGAATGCTGAAGGCTATACAATCAATAAAATATAATATTAAGGCATTCAATGTTCGTGGATGCGTTATTCCTTCTTTGTGTCTCAGGGGTAGACTAAAATCTAGTCTCTGAAATGAACATATCGTACATAAAAAAACAGTTGTTCAGTTATCTTAATAAAAATATAATAAAAAGGAGCCCAGTGACTCTCTTCATTTTCAGAGACTAAACAAATCTGCAGAGCTATAATTTCTTGGAATTTTACGACACGTGTAAATGATCCTATCACCCATCACTGGCATGCCATTGAAAGTGTGTGTGACAGGAAATTTTATTGCCCCCACCACCTCTCCCCAAACACACAACCCTCCCAGTGGAAGCATGGGGTCAGTTTAGAGGGCAGTAAGTATCAAATGTCCAGAAATCTGTTTTGAGAGCAAGCTTGGGTACCAGCTTAGGGGCAGCATTTAGTTTGATTCCCATGGCTAAACAACTTGTCCTCATCCATCCCTTATGTCATCGACAGTCAATTTCTCTATGGTAGATACCAGACTGTCATCATTCGTCAGTGTTGCCTTCTGTGCGACATTATTCAGGTACACAGTATGAGTCCTAATGACACACATGTCTCAGTTTGTTTCTTCATAAGTGCTATCAAGTGTGACAAACAATGACAGTAGCATGGCTTGTATTTTCTACTGCCTTGTATAAATAGGGAGAAAGTTCAAATGTCAACGATTTTCCTCTCCCGGTTGGAGAGCTAAACAACACATCTTTACCATTTAAATACCTTCAATGACTGTCTTTTGATTTGGACGTATGCTCTGTTTGGTTTCATCAGTGATGAAGCAATAAGCTCATCAATGTTCCTATTCATTCTTACAAGCAGAAAAGAAGAATGGCAATTATTCTTACACAGCAATGTGAAACCTTTAGAAATCCTCCTCTCTCCACACCAGGGTAACAATGAAACAAGTTAAGAAACTAGAATTTATGTATGTCACTAAGTCTCCAATATAATCCCACATGTTGTCTGGCCAGAGTGAGTTGGCAGGGCCGGAGCGGGAGCGGGAGGTCTTGTCTCAGTGTGGGGTCTTGGGGAGTGCACGTGGGGGACGAGGTTCGCCACATCCTAATACTAAACGCTAATGACAGCTAGAGATTTACTGATAATTACAAGCTCTGTGCTCGCTTGTGAATTCAGCATATTTGTACAGACCCTGATACTGCAGTGATCTAGACTTGCCAAACATTATAGACTTGCATGGGCTGTATTTGATATATATTTGTATCAGGGTCTGTAAGACAGACTATCTCAGGGGGCACGGGTGGCCAAGTTGTCTAAGGCGCCGCAATTCGCTGTGCAGAGTTGCGTCCCTTTGGCACGCCAGAAACCTATGATTGTGGGTTCGAATCTTGGTTCGCACCGATTATGTTTCTAGATTTGTCAGCACCATACCCGTGCTCGTGGGTTTCACCAAAGTGGTAAACGTCTGAGACCTGCATCACCCCAGGCTTTCCTCCCACATTAAGCAGACACGCCGTGATGTAACTGGAATAATGTTAAAAACGGCGTTAAACCCAACTCACTCTTTGTGTCTCATCTTTCATACTAGGTCATATTTCCTTACAATCGAACTCTTGTTCGTCAATATGAAACGCTATCTGTTTGAAAATATATATTGTCTGAGCAGCATGTGTAATTCTTTTTACAACCAAAATGAACACCAGCTGTACACAACTCGAACATAAGCATGTTAGTTCTGACGCCGTCGGTCTACAGACATCTGCTACGGCTCGTGAAACATCACGATCAATGTTCGTGCAGTCAAACTTCCGTTTGTGAACACTGTCCAGAATTAACCATTGATTTTGCTCCAAGCATCTGTTACACCTTTGTGTGTGCACCTATTTTCCGAAATCATTAAGCCAACATAGCACTCGGACGTTGGGACTAATTCTCATATCATGAAGATATATTTCATTTCGGCATGGGACGTAGACCTATAACATTTCGTCATTTACTAACATTATGCATTTCAGGAGCATTTGTTTTATTTTTTGGACCATTTTACTTCCAACTGCCGAGTCCTCAAACACAGGAAGTAGATCGCCGAGTGCTGCACGAGGTGTATCAGGTAGGTCTATATTTTGTGTATTGATTGTATGAACGTTGTATATGAGTTAGACAATTTTATTAACTTGACGACAGTGTTTGTGACATTTGCTCAATCTCGGGGTTTTATAAGCACGTGTGTATACGTTAACAGATCTTTGTTTTAACATAATTTATAGACAGATCCGAGAAACGTATGTGGTACAGTATTGGGTATATTGAATATGGTGTTAAACAAAGGACATAACAAGTCGGAATTAACAGTTCGCTGTATAATGAGGTGTAAAATTATTTTAATCATATCATATTGACAACGCTAAGTTGATTGATTTCATGAACATTAATCTTTAGACATTTTTGTTAACTTTACTATATTTATTCTAGAAAAATAAAGTCATCGCACCATGTGACGAGGAAATAAAACTGTGTGGAAAAGACAGTATAACGAAGGATGGAGATACAAGGGGAAGCGACAATGGCGACTCAGGACCATTGGCCGTGTTCAAAGATGGCATTGTCGGCAACTACGAAAAATTCGACCCCGGAAATCGAACTGGTCCAGGTGTGCATTTATATTTCACAAAACACATGATCAATATTTAGTCATATATGATGTCAGTTGGATGGTTGAGTTCAGTAATTATTGGGTATGACATTTAAGGTAAAAGATGACAGGTGATCAGAAGTTCATTGATGCTGGGCCGCCTCCGTGGTCTAGTGGTAGAGCGTCCGTCCAGAGAGCGGAAGGTCCGGGGTTCGTTCCCCGGCCGCGTCATACCAAAAGACGTTAAAAGATGGTACTTGTTGTTACCCTGTCTGGGAAAACAAGGACTGGTCGGCTCGGATTCAGTATACTGTGTCTGAGTGGGGTATTCATGTTAAACTGCGGCATGGTATCTCAGTGTGCTAGCACTATAAATCGGTATCAGTCCGGACTAGTACAAGCAGCCACACACACACACACGTGCATGCACGTCGCTATATAAGTGCAATAATCTTGGACGCGACGTTAAACCCAATTTTACCTCACCTCACCTCATTGATGCTGAATGTAAGGTTGTCGGTTATATTTATTTGGTTTGTTGTCGTTTCTCATATATTCAGTAAAGCTAAATGTAGGAGGGTTGATTGATAAGTTATGAGCCTTACATGTGAGGAATTTCGTAATGGTGAACTGTTTTGTAGTGGACATTACATGATGCTCTGGTGGTATAGCCACCAAAATCTTCTGTCAATTGAGCAAATGGTTTAGATATAACAAATAATTATGCAGGCGTCTGTGACTTTTGGAAAATGGACACATTTTAGGAATTTGCACTGATTAAGTGCTAAGTACGTAACACCAACATACATCCGAGAATATATAAGTTTGTTTGTTGTTTAATGCCGCACACAGCAATATTTCGTCTATATGACGGCGGTCTTTAAAAAATCGAGTCTGGCCCAGACAATCCAGTGATTTTTATCGTGTGCATCGATCTACGCAGTTGGGATTTGATGACATGCATTGATCAACCATGTGAGCTAGCCTGACGTCCAGATCCCGTTAGTCGGCTCTTACGACAAGCATGGGTTGAGGAAGATCGGCTATAACCTTGATTTTTACGGGTACTGTGGAACGACATTGGAAAGCATATTATGTTTCACTTCTGAGGAAATTAAGACTTAGAGACGCGGGAAGCTGAGAAAAAGCTGTGTACCAATGTGTCAGTGCACAAATCAGCCAATGCAATGGCTACAATCCACGAGTGTGGCTTTGAACTTTTTCCGCACCCACTTGATCTGGCTCCACCAGATGTCCATCTGTTCCCAAACATGGAGAAAGCTCGATCTGGAATCCATTTCGGCTCGAATGAACACGCCATAGCAGCTGTGGAGAACATTATGGACAGCTTAGAGAAGTACTTTAACGAAACTGTGATAACAACCTCTTCTATCATTAGCAAAAGTGTCAACGTGGAAGGGGATTACTTTGAAAAAGAAATCATTTTTATATTTCTAGATCAAGACTTTCTATGTGAGACTGAGGACTTATCAAGCAACCCTCGCAGGTTTATCGCTATTACTTTTTTTAAAAAATTTGAATGAAGGTTGTTGTTACTGCTTGTAAGTATATACTTATACTTGTCTTAACTTGTCAACCTCAGGTGAGTACGGAGAACCAGTGATTACTGAAGATGACGAGAAGACAAAAGCGGAGATGTCGGCAAGAGAGTTTGGGTTCAACATGGTCAACAGCGATAAGATTGCCATGGACAGAGCACTGCCAGACATCCGCCTTAAAGAGTGGGTATATGTAGCAGGGAGCTATAAACTTCTTTGTCCGTCGTCATACGATTTGGTTTTTATGGATATTTGCACTAGCAAAAGAACGCATTATTAAAACCCTACACAATATTGCAGCTTGTGATTGACAACAATTATTATGCTTTACCCTGCGAAGAAAGTGAGCGTTGAATAATACTGCACCTCCAGCCATTACTTCGGGTGTAAATACATTCCTTTTCATAAATCCTTTTATATAAAACATATACAGTAAACTACGGTTATAACGAACACGCTTATAACGAACTGACGGATATAACGAACTTATTTTTTGGTCCCGACTATTTGCTGTGGTTATGTTGTATATATGCTTATAACGAACTACGGTTATAACGAACTAAAATTACTAGTCCCTTTGAGTTCGTTATAACCGTAGTTTACTGTAATTAAACTGTCGCAGCGCAAGGAATGCCTGCAACCACACTAACCACAGGAACAGCAAAAGAGACCCAGTATAGTTTGTGGGAGAATGTGTGTCAAATGACAAACATTCGTCTTCAGCTTTCAAATCTAAATCTACATATTGCCAGAAGGTTGTCCATGTTTTTTCCAAGTGTTGAAGACGAGTTTCATTTCCTTTAATATGTAATGAATATTGTATGCTGTGAAAAGCGTCGATTTCATTTATCCCAGCACGTTACTGGTTCAGTGTGGTTAGAAACTCTTTCGTGTCAGTACTCGCCTCTGACGATGTACAGACTCAACATAACCAGCTACATATATCATGCCATGTCATTAAGGAATAGGGATTCTCAAACTATGTGTTCAATAAATGCTACATGGCCTTATTCACTGTATATGGACAGCAGGCCTAACGTACAATGAAGCCATGTTGACATTCACTTTGAATGGGAACTTGTGCCTTCACAACTGAGTGCGCTATATAAGTGATATATGCCATGTGTGAGTTTGACGTTGTATTATATAATACGAGGGTCTGTCAAAAAGTATTGACCAAAATATAGATGGCGTTGTTTTTCTCCTGCAAGAGATATTTATTTGCCAACAAAGTCCCCTTGGAGTTCTATGCGTCGGTTTGAGATGCATTTTGCTGACTGACTGAGCCTTAAGAGCAGGCAGTAAACTTATAACCTGTTGGATGCAACATATACACATATACTTTAAGGCCAAGGCTCCACACAATCAACCAGGTCACTGAGCCTGACCACTCGGTCCATTATGTCGCCTCTAACGATATGCATAGGTTGTTTGAGACCAGTTCTAATCCGAGTTGATTCCGTAAGTTCTTCTACCTCTATTTCCCAGATGCAGATACTGGCACTACCCTGAGGCCCTTCCCACCACCAGCGTCATCATTGTCTTCCACAACGAGGGCTGGTCCACCCTGCTCCGCACAGTCCACAGCGTCATCAACACCTCGCCCACCCGGCTTCTGAAGGAGGTGATACTCGTCGACGACGACAGCGACACAGGTAACTCCGTTGTTGGATCTCGGACACGAACAATGATCCAACGACTAGCAAGGGAGCTATCAATGGAAATTGAATAGGGTAGTGGGCGTATGGGGTCGTTCTTGAACCGTGAGTGAGTGAATTGGGTTTTATGCCCCTTTGGACAGTATTTCAGTTATATCACAGTGTCAGCTTAATGTAGGAGGAAAGCCCGATGAAAGTGATGATGGTCTCAGCCGTTTACCACGAACACGGGTATGGTGATGACAAGCTTGGAAACACAATCGGCGTTGTTGTATTGTATTACAGACATATTTTCGCAGTTACTTTCTGTATATTGAAACGTACCCTAACCTTTCATAAATGTACCTTAAATTGACGGCAACGAAGACTATTCCACAATGTGTGAAACCATTTCCGTTTGCACGTCCATTGTCTAGACTTCCCAACGGGTTTCGCGCATTTTTAAATTAACGCGTTCACTCATGCATAGCTCGGGCGTATTAATGTTTTCTGTCCTTGGGTAGGATACATTTCTGTATAAAAAAATGGTACTTTGTGTACCTTTCTGTAGCACTACAACGACAACGACTCGTTCAGCGATAGTGAGGCGCGTTTTTGTCACGCCGTAGACAAGGTGTGAAAGCTTGATCACTTTATATCTTTGACAAGACTTTGTTAACAAGATAGGGAAAAAGAGCGAATTAGTCCTAGTTAATTCTACGACGCAGAATGAAAATGATGTGAATGGTGCCAAATGATTAAATAGAACTTACAAGATGAACCATGTAGATACTGTTGACATGAACGTACTGATTAGACGTGACATTTTGTAAGTGACGAGACTTTTATGTAATTACGCCATCGTGAATGAGGGTGAGTGAGTGAGTGAGTAAGTGAGTGTGTGAGTGAGTGAGTGAGTGAGTGAGTATTGTTTTATCATATCATATCACGGCGGGGAACACGACTAAGGGGCTTCACAAATTGTAACCATGTAGGGAATCAAACCCGACTTAGGGCGTTACGAGCCAACGCTTTAACCACCATAGCCTACGCCGTCACCTTTAATGGGGATGAGGAATGTCTGTGTTTCATAGTTGATCAGCGTGGAACATTGCTGACACTGTGAAACATTCGTGTGCCTGGTCCGACTCAATTATTTTACAGACCGTCCTGATATAGCTGGAATATTGGATTTTTTTACAGACCGTCCTAATATAGTTGGAATATTGGATTGCCGCGATACAATATTCACTTCTTTATCCTCGCCCACAGAACACCTGAAGGAGAAGCTTGACCTGTATCTCAAGCAGTTTGATGGCCTGGTGAGGCTGTACAGGAACGACGAGAGAGAAGGTCTCATCAGGAGCAGAATCAAGGGGGCGCTGCTTGCTACCGCTGACGTCATACTCTTTCTAGATGCTCACTGCGAGTGCAACAAGAACTGGTTACCTCCCTTACTGACAAGGATAGCCCATGACCGGTAATACACGATGCCGCAGATAACATGAAATAAATCAAATTGTTCCAGGGGTCGATTAAGAAAAAATATAAGTGACTATATTTCAGAAATATCTGTTAGATATCTGGCTAGACCATATCATTTTCTCAACCTGTTCTTAAAATAATATACAGTGGAACCCTATTTCTTTGGACCGCTCCCAATGAAATCGTCCGGAGTTTTTGTCAGCATTACATGTTAATGTCACTTTAATCATATATATATATATATATATATATATATATATATATATATATATATATATATACAAAAAGCAAGTTTTTGTTGACAAAAGAGTTCCACAAGTCACTTCATATGTTATTTTAGTATGATACATGAACATCTGTCAAGGTTAAATTACCATTTCAAACAAATGTTGTTCTCAGTTGTGTTCAGCCCCCACACTATGGTTGCGGGGTTAACCAAAATGATACGACCTTTTGACGTAAACTCCAACACACTCTTACGTTCATAGGGAGCACGGGTGGCCCAGTCGTCTAAGGCGCCGCGATTTGCTGTGCAGAGTTGCGTCCCTTGGGCACGCCAGAAACCTATGATTGTGGGTTCGAATCTTGGTTCGCCCCAATTATGTTTCTAGGTTTGTCAGCACCATACCCGTGCTCGTGGGTTTCACCGAAGTTGTAAACGTCTTAGACCTGCATGACTTCGGGCTTTCCTCCCACATTAAGCTGACACGCCGTGATATAACTGGAATAATGTTAAAAGCGGCGTTAAACCCAACTCAGTCAGTCAGTCAGTCTTACGTTCATAAGAATGAAGGTACATGTAATTAGTTTTGCGTGCCCCCAAGAACATAAATACTGGTAGCGTGTGCCTATCCAACCTTCAATTCTTGTCCTACAAGTCAACATCGATTGTGTAACCTACCAAAACGTGTTACTCCTAGAACTATCATGGCTGTTCCTATCATTGATGGTATCGACTGGACCAAGTACACGTACAGATCCAATTACTATGGCACCCACTTCCGAGGCATATTCGAGTGGTCATTGTACTACAAGGAAAGTCTTTTACCTGGCCAGGAAGAGGGACGGAGAAACTACAGGAGCGAACCTTACAGGTGGAACCCATTCTAAACTCTTTGAGATTATTTTAAGAACGCCTACCAAAGGATATACATGTATTGTTTTCGGCAAAAGCGTTTACTCGTTTAGGCTATTTTGTCTGTGCTATTTGTCTCTTAATAATGTAGGTGTTTGATAATTGATGATTGACTTCATTCTGATAATAGTTTGTATGGTTTTCACAACACATTTTTTTTAATTCCTCCTTTGTTCCAAGAATGTCCTAATGTTGACCTTATAATTTTTTGAAGTAGAGGTGTTTACAGAGAAGGCATAACAATTGATTGGAGTAACTTAGATAATTGATTACCCTTTTCTAAGGCAAACAGTAAACCTGCGTTTAATGACCCCATGTATGTGCTACCACCAGATCTCCTACACATGCTGGAGGCCTCTTCGCCATGGACCGGAAGTACTTCTTTGAGTTGGGTGCATACGATCCCGGCCTTGAGATATGGGGCGGGGAGAACTTTGAACTCTCCTTCAAGGTAATCAATTAAGACTTTCTCGAACGATCATCGTGAATATTCACCAAACTGATAATAAACTTAACCGTCCGAAAATTTATGTTGATTTCTAAATGGTTTGATAAGTGCAATTTTTTTATAGCTCCATTGAACAACACTACCACGACACTAAGTATATGTATTAATAACGTTTAGAGAAGCATAATATATATAATATCTACACCGGCTTTTAGCGAATGTGACCCTTGAAGATCCGGGGTCTTCAGCAAACCATGCTTGCCGTAAAAGGCGACTACGCTCGTCGTAAGAGGCGACTAACGGGATCGGGTGGTCAGGCTCGCTGACTTGGTTGTTGCTTGTCATCGATCCCAATGGCGTGGATCGATGCTCATGATGTCAATCACTGGATTGTCTGATCCAGACTTGATTATTTACAGACCGCCGTCATATAGCTGGAATATTTTGCTGACTGCGGCGTTAAACAACAAACCCACTCACTCACTTTTAGCGAATGTGACGGTGACCGAATGCATTGATTTTCCCACAGATATGGCAGTGTGGGGGCAGTATAGAGTGGGTGCCGTGTTCCAGGATAGGGCATATTTATAGGCACTACTCAATCGACAGGAAGATTCCCATGACCAACAGGATCCCTCTCCACAAGATGGTAATATCCCCGTCATCCATCTCGTCATCTCTGTATATTATCGATGTACAGTTTCCATTATGCAAACCAAGTACCTAATCGAAAATGTATACACAATATGAATACACCTACCAATACCACTATCAACCGGAACCGTGAGTTATTGAGTGAATGTCGATTTACATCGCTTTCAGCAATAGTCCAGCTGTATCACCGCAACCTGTAAACAGGCACACCAATGACTTACAGCAAAGAGTCACTAATCTGTAATCCTACGCTTGTGACATACGCAATTACAAATATTCAAGTGTATATAATATGACTGGATAACCTTAACTGTGTGTATTGCAGGAAGTCCCTGTAGGTTCCTAGTAACTAATGTCCTAGGCTTATAGTTTCCAGCTTTCAGTATCATAGTTTCCTTTTACACATTGATTCCAAAGAATTATTACATTGGACAGTAGGTATCATTGTCCGGGACTACTAATCTTAGTACACAATGACTGGCGGACGTTAGTTCGTAGGACTGTATCATCATTGGCACTGCGCTGTAATCAAGTGCATAGAACACATTTAACAGACAAGACCTCAGTCGCCACCATGCCCGGAAGGGAAAGGAAGGATGGTGGAAGTGACCTAACTGGTCGACCAATAGTTCTGTACAGCGTCATGTAGCAGACTGGTCATATAGCACACCTGCTCACACCAGTCAGCAGGCAGAGGTATTTGAGTTGCATATCTATTTTCAAAACTGTTTGCGGGATAAAATGTCTGACATGTTCAATTTTGGTCAACCAATCGATACTATAATATATCAGATAAAAGGATGAAAACGAGCATCCTGTATCCATGGCCTTCTTTTAGCAAAGCACACATGAGAAATATATTCTATTTGAACTTTAAGGTACATATATGTGAATGAGTCTTGCTATTGTTCTTGTAACTGTCAGAACTACATGCGTGTGGTGGAAGTGTGGTTTGATGAGGAACACAAGGAACACTTCTACCGCCTGGAACCATGGTTACGAGGGGCGCCACTGGAGAACTTACAGCCCCAACTGGAGTTCCGGCGCAAACACAACTGCAAGAGCTTCAAGTGGTTCATGGATAATGTCGCTATTGAAGTCCTCGAACGGTTTCCACCTCCACCACAAAACGTAGAATGGGGACAGGTAGGGATGACAAAGTTTCTTAAGTAGCAAAGAATCCTTCTTTGGTTTAACAAGATACATTCTTATATTGAGACGAGGGAGATGAAAAGTACTGTACGACGGTCTCGAGAGAGTGGTAGGATTTTGTCACATATCTTATGCTATTCATGTTTAACCCTTTTTATTATCTAAAAATCTTCCGGGGTAGAATAGGTCTTCAGCAACCCATGCTTGTCGTAAAAGGCAACTGTGCTTGTCGTAAGATGCGACTAAAGGGATCGGGTGGTCAGGCTCGCTGACTTGGTTAATGCATGTATTCGTATCCCAATTGCGGGGTGCTCATGATATCAATCACTGGATTGTCTGGTCCAGACTCGATTTTTAACAGACCGCCGTCATATAGCTTGAATATTGCTGAGGGCGGCGTTAAACAAACAAACAAAATAAATCCATAAAAACATTGATGGATGTTTGACTCTGTCCCAGTTTTTTATCTTGCGAGCTGTGACACGAAGCATGTTGACAGTTTAACGATAATAAATGTTCATTGTCATCTGTCAGATTCGTCCATGGTATACAGATCAGTGTTGGACAGAAGTCGGTGACCGGAAGATTGCGCTCATCCCCTGTGCGTCTCGACCATATAGGCAAGGACAGGTAATTCTACACAATGTGGAGGTCTATAACTCACAAGACACGTTAAATGAACATTTCTATGTATCTTCAAAACCAATGACGGTCCTCGTGGGCGTGGTTACACGTACACGACAAGCTCGTTAGATAGAACTCCATTGTGTCGAGGCATATTTTCAGAACTTGATGGCCCTACTCAAATCTTATTGGCGCTATCTATCTGATATCAATACTCTGCCTGTCTCGAACTATGGATAATTCGTCATATATTCCACAGTTCTCGAAGTTGCACTGTATATCCCCGTGACACAATGATGAGGGGGAAGCAAAAAGACCTGATCGTTCAAGGCAGAACCAAATGTTCTAACCAACTTCCAGATGGCAGTCAATAGAATCAATGACAACCCTCTGGCCCAGGATAGTGGCTCATTAACTTGTGTAATTAAACAAATGCTATGATGTCACTTGCGAGTTAAAGTACAAAAGATCTCCTGAAATCAAACGATCATGAGTGAGTGAGCGAGTTTGGTTTAATCGTTCGAAAGCTCGAAATCAAATGTTTCAGTAATAGAGAAATTTCTTATGCATAAATATGCTTATTTCATATTGAGCAAACTTATTACTAACTGATACTGCATACATACTTTGAATACACCTACAAATACCACTATAACCCGGAACAATGAGTGACTGAGTAAATGGCGCTTCACACTGCTGTTAACAATATTCCAGCTGTATCACCGCAACCTGTTCCGAACAGAGAAACAAGTGTTTAACAAGTGGCCACGTTCCACTCCATCTGAGTAGATGACGTATCAACTAAGCCACGGAGTCTGACCACCTGATCCAGTGTCGTCGCATATTAAAACACGCAAAACGTGAACTTACGCGGATCCCACATTCATATTGATATTTTTGTTGTTAATGTTTGAGAGATGTTATCTCAATTACCATTCATCACCACTCGGCCTTTTCCGTAACTGCAAGAATATACCTGTCCCGGGATGACATGAGTGGTCATGAATGGTAAATGACTTTAATTATTTATATGTTTGTAGTTTTTCCGACTAGACGTAAACGGTAAACTGGGCCTGGGAGAGAGATGCGTGCTGCACACAGACGACAAGACGCAACCTCAGATATCCAGATGTCCCGAAAACCCCAAAGGATCCTGGGAATATATTAAGGTGAGAACGGATTTATGTTCACTATAGGCATAATTTATTTGAAATAGAACACGACAGGAGGTAATAAAAATTCAAAGATACCCACGTTATTGCGAAAGAATGAGATCAGTAGCTCTCTTTCAAATACATGTATATTTTGAAGAGGTGACAAACGTTTTATACCAATATTTTTATACATTTTATAAGTTTTCAAATTATGTTTGGTTACCTCATCTTCTGACTTTGAATAACAAAATTTTAATTACTGGCAATTTCCCAACACGGGTGTTCTAGTATTATTGTACCACTTCATAAAAGGGTGATAGGTAACCCAAATAATTATCGCGGAATAGCTCTTTTGAATGTAATGGGTAAATGTTTTGTTACTAACCTAAACAGCTGATTGATTTGTTTACTGAAACGCACGCAGTTGCTGGTGAACACTGAGGTGGCTTTAAGAAGGATCACTCCACAATTGATAGCTTTTTTTAATTACAATCAACAGTACAAAAATAAACTAGTATTACGGAAAAGAAAAGAAAGGTACACTTTGCCTTTATTGATAAAATAAATAAATAATAATTTTACTTTATAATGGTTTCCAAATTACTGAAAATATGTATGCAGTATTAGGGCAACATCATTATGTAATTAGGGAAGAAAACTATCAGAATATTGTTCCTGTCTTAGTGGTGTAAAACAAGGAGCTTTATGAGCCCGCAACCTTTCTGATCATATTCTAAGAAATAAAGCGACAAAACCCTGTTCATATTCAATAGAAATCTCGATTGTACAATTTCAACTTTACCATGAGCATGTATTTATGAATCACGATCAAATAGTAATGATATCAGGTGAGCGTATCCTGCCCCACCGGTGGCACCCGCCACAAACCGTCAAAAACACATGCAAAGGCAAGTCAACTGTTAAGGAATTGGCTGTAAATATGAATGATTTTTTTAAAGATGAAATTTATATACCAGAGGAAATGTTAAAGATTATTGCTCTGCATTTTGCAGATGCTCTTATTATTGTTCCAGATAAAATTATTAGTCCACAGAACAGATTAAATATTTTCCAAGATTATTGTGATAAATGGGGTATGGAAGTTAATAGTGACAAACCCAAAATTACTGTTTTAAAAAACGATGACGGGCCCCGCTATAGGCATGAAAGATGGTGACTGAATGGTCGGCAACTAGTAAGACGCTTTAGATATTATATAATTAAATATATGGGCTTAATGGTTACCCCGAAATCAATTTGGACCAAAGGGTGTAAAGCCGTTTCCCTATAAGATCTATAATAAGGCAGTTTGATCTGTCCATAAATAATTCATTTTGAATATTTGAACGGAAAATAATCCCTATTGTATTGTATGGAAGCCAAATATGGGATTTGTTGAAGGAGAAAGTATTGAATAATGTTTCTATAGGAACTTTTTCAACAAGGGATAGGGTATACATTTTCAAATGGGCCAACTATGAGGATTGTGGGAGACTTCCTTTAATTTCTATATATTATGTTAAATGTATTAACTATCGGTTAAGGTTACTGAATATTAATAATGACAGATATCCATTTCTAATGTTACATAATGATGAGAAATACATGTGACAGAAGGTACCAAAATTGGGAAACCCATGTGAGTGTGTGAGTATGGTTTTTCACCGCTATAAGCATTATTCCAGCAATATCGTGGTGGGGAGCACCAGAAATGGGCCTCACACATCGTGCCGAAGTGGGGAATCGAACTAGATTCTTCAGCGTGACGAGCGAACGCTTTAACCACTGGGCTACCCAACCGCCCGCAACCAATGTGAAGAATCACCTCTTCAAATATGGTGTTGGCTATGCTTGGATGACACAAAATGTTGGTGACTCCAGTATCCAGTTATTTAAAACAACGAGTAAGTGTTTGTAATGTTCAAGACTGGCACTCCGAAATGGCCTCACGGTTTCGACGTGAGAACTATATTGTTAATATCAATAGTTCCAAGTAGAGAACAGCATTGTTAAATCTTAGAACTGGTTATGATATACTTGGTGTCCAGAAATACGTAAGAAATATTTCTTCTGATGATGAAGATGTTTTTCGTTGTCCACCATGTAAGTCTTCTTTGCTCCAAAATAAGAAGTACATATATGAACAATCTCAGACATTTTTTTAAACCGTGACATTGTAAGTAATTTTTGGAATGCATAATGATGAGATGAATTGAACATTGCAAAATATGCTCATCACCATTTCGTATAAGAAATGAACTGTGATCTTATATTCAATCTTACTATGTATGCTACTCATGTTTTGCATTGTTCCATATTATTCCACGGTAAGCGTATCCACAATCATAGATGTACGGGCAGCGAAAAGTAACAGAAATTGGTGAGGTGCAATGGGGTTTAGCGTCGCGTTCAAGATTATTGCACTTACATAGCAACGTGCATGTACGTGTGTGTGTGGCTGCTTGTACTGGCCCGGACTGATTTTAGGTGCTAGCCAAATTGAGATACCATGCCGAAGTTTAACATGAATACCCTAATTAGACACAGTATACTGACTCCGTGCCGACCAGTCCCTTAATGCCGAGCGCCAGACAGGGTAACACCGAGTACCATCTATGGACGTCTTTTGGTATGAGGCGGAGGCGGTCAGTAACAGAAATGATTACTCTACACTTAAGCGTTGCATCGAATTTTGCATTTAAGTAATAAATAGATTGAACCTCAAGTAAGTGAATGTTGTTCTGCACCGCAATACATAGTACTCCACATCCTGTAAATAATTGAGTCCATGGTAAACCAGTGGTTGATAATATGAGCAACGATCGAGGCATGATGACACAGTGTCAGTCAGGGACTTCAATGATAATCTTATGGTTATTTTTAACAAGAATAATATTTTTTTCAGGATACACAACAAATCAGAAGCAACGCGGTACAAATGTGCATCCACTTCGATGAAAAGACAAGTGTACTGTTTTTTAAAAAGTGTGATCGCAATTCTCACGATCAGAAATGGATATTCAAACAGATCTACATGTGGATGTGATGATGCTCCTGCTTAGAGTGGATGAACTAGACAATGGTTGGAAAAATGTCATATATAAATCCCAAAAGCCAAAAATAGAAATCACTTCTGCTGGGAATGGGAATTCCCTAAATAAGACTTATATTACCCATCACCAAATACAAACAACACAGATTTCAGCTGAAAATAGATTCATCGGAATATATCGTTAACAAACTCCATCTCAACGTATCTTAAAGTTTTGCGAAGAATAGGTGAGAATGTTTGTTTGCATGGTGTGGCAGGTTTGTTTCTTTGTGTCGTGGAATTACCGAAATGATGTAATTTATTGCGAATTTGGATAAAATAATTAAAATGTTGCATAAAGTCAACAAATATTCATTGGCAAAACAATTTGCATTTGTGACGTCAACAACAACTAAGGTATTTTTCGGTTTACACTGTTCTTTCTGATACTTTATACGTACAATGAAACGTTTTTCAATAAAATTCGATGTCTTGTTGGCACCCAATAATATTGTTTTGTATTACTGTTTCGATGCCGAAGAAATCATGTAATATTACAACTGGGGTTATTTATGTTAGTGAGGTGAGGTGAAATTGGGTTTAACGTCGCGTCCAAGATTATTGCACTTATATTGCGACGTGCATGCACGTGTATGTGTGTGTGTGGCTGCTTGTACTAGTCCGGACTGATGCCGATTTATAGTGCTAGCTCACTGAGATACCATGCCGCAGTTTAACATGAATACCCCACTCAGACACAGTATACTGACTCCGAGCCGACCAGTCCTTGTTTTAGCCCCTTAATGCCGAGCGCCAGACAGGGTAACATCAAGTACAATCTTTTAACGTCTTTTTGTATGACGCGGCCCGGGATCGAACCCTGGACCTTCTCCGGGCGGACGCTCTACCACTAGACCACGGAGGCGGTCTATTTATGTTAGTATGTTTGAGAATGTGTGCCATTGTTTGTTACTTTAGATGTTGTTTTTATGTGTTGTGTAATAAATGGGTTTTGTGTTTTGATTAGATAGTGAATTAAAATTGGGGTGCACGGGTGGCCAGTTGTCTCTGGCGCCGCATTTCGCTGTGTAGAGTTGCGTCCCTTGGGCACACCAGAAACCTATGATTGTGAGTTCGAATCCCGGTTCGCCCTGTTATGTTTATAGGTTGTCAGCACAATACTCGTGGGTTTCACCAAAGTGGTAAACTTCTGAGACCTGCATTCCTTCTGGGTTTTCCCCCATATTAAGCTGACACGCCGTGAAATAATGTTCAAAGTTAAAACCCAACTCACTCACTAATTAACATTGAGTCCATGAGCAACTTCCGTGTGTGTTGTCAACTGTACTAATGATTAACTTACAGGCGGAAGTATACGGTACTTATAGTACAACTTGATCAAACCTATACAGTGGTACCCGGTCAAGCGGACAGTAATGTTCCTCGTGGGACGAATAATCGTGACGAAGTAATGTCGCCTTATACACATTATTCTCAGTAATGTCCGTAATAAGGATTTGTTCCGGGTTCGGGGCGGTCGGGTAGCCTAGTGGTTAAAGCGTTCGCTCGTCACGCCGAAGACCCGAGTTCGATTCCCGACAGGGGTACAATGTGTTAAGCCCATTTCTGGTGTCCCCCGCCGTGATATTGCTGGAATATTGCTAAAAGCGCCGTAAAACCATACTCAGTCAGTGTTCCGGGTTCAATATTTATTCAATTATTTAAAGTTCTCAGTCCTATAGAACATTTAGGACAGAGGTTGCACAATAAATGTAAGCAACATATTATAAACTTCAAGTATATTGATGATCTGATATCGTTAAATAATGGTACAAATATCCATTTCCCGTCCATTGATTTACCCAACTAAAATAGAAATATAAGAGACCAATGAAACCGCCTCATCTGTATAAGATTAAGTTTGTTTGTTTGTTTGTTTGTTGTTTACCGCCGCACTCAGCAATGTTCCTGCTATATGACGGCGGTCCGGACCAGTCAGTCCAGTGATTGATATCATGAGCATCAAACCACACAATTGGGATACTATGACATGCATTAATAAAGTCAACGAGCCTGACAACCCGATCCCGTTGGTTGCCTTTTTCGACAAGTATGGGTTGCTGAAGAACTATTCTAACTCGGATCTTCAAGGGTCTTCAGATTTAGATCCATGCATAAAACTGGACTTTTATGGTCAGTTAACTCCCTTGCAGTCTTACAGTCTTGTGGTTAGCTTTTTATCACTCTGAATCTTTATTCAGATTTAGATCCATGCATTAAGATTTAGAGTGATAACCACAAGACTGTACAGCTTCCAAAGGCAAGGGGTTAACTGGCTATAAAAGTCCAGCTTCCACCCTTGCCGAACTAGGCTGGAATTATATTTCGGCTGGACCTACGAGTCTATTCATTGTCCAATCAAAATCGCGTAACGAAATCGACATCCGGTTCGTAACAACACATCAACTGCCGTGCAGATTCCGATCAATTTCAGAATTTGCAAAGCATGTGGTCCGTCAAATGGGCTTCGACAGATATTTTCCAAATCTTATCATGTTTTTAGCCAAGGTGCCCAAGTGAACTGATGCACTTAAAAAAGAAATTGTCTGCCTCAAATAATACATTGTTGCCAGACGTTCTTTGTATGAAATGATTTCGACAAATTTATAATTTGAAATGAGCTGTAACTGAACACACACACACACACACACACACACACACACACACACACACACAAAATAATATTAAATATTCGGTCCATAAGGGTAAGCATAATCTGCTCTAAATAATTTCTATATCGATCTGCATAATATGGTAAGTGTTGACAAGTTTTATCCAGCTCCCACAACACTGCAGGTATAATACTAGAAGTTTTGAGTCACATTTGACATGGCAGGTATCTAGCCAAGTATTATTTAATGCTTTCTGAATATGGCAATCGTCTGAGGTATGTAGCGTGGCAACACATTGTCATCGAGTTTGTTGAGGCGCCCGGCTGTTGTTTGTCAATACTTCAACATCACCATAAACCCTATTGATCTTCACGCGTGTACAAGAAGACACATTGCACAGAGTGGCTGGTAGCAACAGTTCCCCTCCTCTTGGTTTTCTCATATACGAAGTCGTTATGAGTTCCACAATCCTTCATTGCTGTCGAGGTATATGCAGTGAGTACGTTCGACTTGAACAGGAGTAGTGGCGGGTCTCAAAAGGAGGTTTCCAAAGGTAAGGAGCCTTTCAGTTTCAGGTTAAGGAATACGTTCCACCTCTTCCGATATATGTGTAGTAAGTTGATTGCACCAATGATCTTCAAAAATTGTAAATTAGGTTATGCATGACTTAATCACCTCATTTTAATGAGTAAACACAAATCGTTTACAGTGTCATCTCTTTAATCGCCCCCCCCCCCCCCACACACACACACACACACCCCACCCCACCCCCACCCGACCCCCAACACCCCCCTCATTCGGAAACTTCGACTTCCGGGCGATTCCTGCTTCCTGAAAGCTAAAACATATACAGAGTGACATTACATTACTCATGATTCCTTAATAAGGACATTTGTGAATCCGGACTATTTTACTGTGAACACTAGTGTCCGGTATTGCAGCGTTTGTATATCATCACCTCGTATCGAGGAGAGAACATGGCTAAACCTACACTTGCCATTGTAATGATTCGGATGCTGTTAATATGATGGTCTTCTGTTGATAGAGCTACTGTAATTCCACTATATTGGTTCAGTGTACTATGAAACCCCGTTTATACGGTCGGTTCAGTTCCCAGGCTAACCGTCTGGGTTAACCAATGACCGGATCAATGGATTAGGGTATGGGATGTGTTTATACATAGGAAGGTGGCGTGTCAGGTTTCACTGTAAACGCAAATGTGCGTGACAAACACGTCAGCATAATATTTATTATATCATGCATGTGTCTTTTTACTTCGCATATAAACAAGCAATTCTTATGTGAAATATTCGAATGTCATTCTAGGCAAGCGACCAACATTTGATAGCCATACCAGATGTTGCTATGGTTATGGAGGAGAAGCCATCTGAAGGTTGTCATTGTCGCCTGCCTTGTTATAGGTTTATGGTTGATGGCAAGTGGGAACAAGAATTTAAACGACCTTGAAAATCGTGATAATTACATACCTCACATGGTCAAGGTAAGTGCACAGAAGGATAATCAATGATTGTTTGTTTGTTTGTTTAACACCGCTATTATTCCAGCTATATGACGGCGGTCTGTAAATAATCGCGTCTGGACCAGACAATCCAATGATTGACATCATGATGCATCAACCAAGTCAGTGGGCCTGACCACCCGATCCCGTTAGTCGCCTTTTACGACAAGCATAGTCGCCTAAAACGGCAAGCATGGGTTACTGAAGACCTAATCTACCCCGGATCTTCACGGGTCGATAATCAATGTATGTGGATATCAACTATTAACGCCGATACACAAAGTGAATGAAGTAAATTGAATGTAAAATAATAAAATATTTAATGAGAATCAGATTTTGCAGGTGTCGATATCTCCTCATTGATGGAATGTGGAAAGGTGGAATGCCTGTTCTTTGCTTTAATTAGTATTTACATAACATTTTGAATGATATTCTAATTGCTATGTTTGCATTACTGGGATGTGATATAACTTCAACGTTCAAAATAACACAGTGCATTTATAGCATTGTATAACATACAGATATATGTACATATTAGTAAAAGGACCTATCGAGTAGGCTAGTGGTTCCCCATATGGGTACAGCGTCTGAAGCCCATTCGTGCTGCTCTAGATAGCCGTGATATGGCTAAATAAAACATAGGTTGACAATATCGAAAAATACTATGTGTGTCTATTTCTGGGATTTTATCGAGTATTTGCATCTTGGAAATTTTCATTCTAGCCCTTCAAGCTAAGGCTTTCGGGTCTCGAGATGAGTTTCCAAGATGCAAATACTCGATAAAATCCCGGAAATAGACACACACATAGTATTTATCTTCTAATTGTCCACCATGAACAGCCTCAAGATCAGGATCACGACCTTCCGCAGGATCTGCCCAAAGAGCAGAAGGAGATCCCACGGGTGGACAGCATTGAAGCCGTCTTAAAGAAGGGAGAACTTGGAAATTATGAACCCCCCAAAACAGAAGTACACTCTGGACCAGGTTGGTTCTGAAAATATATATTATTGATAAATCTCTAGTCCGGTATTTTTGTGTGAAATTTGTTGAAGCCAATTGACTTTATACGAGTAGAGCTATAAATGAAGGTTACAATATATGTGCCGTAGCTGTGCGTTAATTTGCATAGCAGAGGCTCGTTGTCAGTAAATAAAGGCTACAAAACCATTTCCATTATCATAATAAATATCTGCTCAAAGCAAAATCCATTGTACGATTTCGACTTTATCATAAGCATGTGTTTATGAATCACTGTCAATGACACATTCAACCACAAACCAGCTTGAGCCTTAAAGTAGTTTGCCACCCGCCATGGCGTTTGCCCTACCCTTTTATTGCAGAGAACATTGACTCTCTGTGTGGAAGAAGCAAAAGAATGCTAGGTCTTCAGCCACCCGTGCTTGCCGTTAAAGGCGACTATGTTTGTCGTAAGAGGCGACTAACGGGATCGGGTGGTCAGGCTTGGTTGATGAATGTCAACGTATCCCAATTGCGTGGATTGATGCTCATGGTGTCAATCACTGGATTGTATGGTACAGATTCGATTATTTACAGACCGCCGTCATATAGTTGGAATATTGCTTAAATGTGCGTTAAACAACAAACAAGTGCATGGTCCGGGCTGATGTTATTTTCGATAAATCTGTATCAACAACGCTATTGAAGACTTGTTACTGAATTTGTGTTTTGTTTAATTTCAGGCGAACTTGGAAGCGGGGTTTATGTGAAAACACATGACGAAGAGTCCATCAAAAAGTATGGATGTGACATGAGTGTGAGTGACAAGATCTCACTGGACCGATCTCTTCCTGACACAAGAGACACAGAGTAGGTGAACAGAGGGCTCTTCTACCATCAGGGTTGGTGCAGACGCATTTAATATTATATCTAACCCGTGAAGATCCGGGGTAGAACTGGTCTTCAGCAACCTATGCTTGTCGTAAGAGGCAATTAAAGGGACCCGGTGGTGATGCTCGTTGAACTTTGTTGAATGTCATCGGATCCCAATTGCGTAGATCGATGCTCGTGATGTCAATCACCGGACATCTGTTCCAGACTTGATTATATACAAATTGCCGTCAGATAGCTGCAATGTTGCCGAGTTCAGCGTTAAACAACAAACAAATAAACATTTTATGTCATCTGTAATAAAAATAAAATTCTCATTGCAAACATTTTTTTGTAAGAAAATGTCTGTCAGACAATGAGGAAATGTTTTATTTACGCAGTCACTAATCATCGCAGCAGGCATAAATCTAATGCAGGCTTTACATACCAGTGATATATGTGAAGTATATTCCTCAGTGTATCGGGTTCAAATCACAAGCATGAGCTTTCAGGGACCTATTAAACGCATTGGAGTTACATGGTTAAGAACTCTCCAGAAGCATTGGTCCTGGGGAGATTTGTCACAGTTCCTTTGGAATATTGAAGAATATTCTGAACACGATAACCTAACATTTTCAGAAAAGATTGTTCTTATAAGAAGGAATATAGCAGCAGTCTGACGTATGTGATTCTGATAACCAGAACCTTAAGAAAACATTTTTTAGAGAAATGAGTAACAATCCACGAATTATATTTTAAGTGGATCTATGTCACTGTCGCTACCAATATTTTCGAACCCTGTCGTCTCATCAGAACTCGTCTTCCAGAAATGCTAAATTTCTTGATTCTTATTTTACTAGTTCCTTGTATGCATTGACAAAATGCCAACACAATGCCATCCTTTGCTATTCCAGGTGCAAGTTCTGGCACTACTCGACCAGTCTGCCCAGTGCCTCTGTGGTCGTCGTATTCTACAACGAAGGCAACACGACCCTCCTGAGGACTGTCCACAGCATCATCAACAGATCCCCGTCCTCGCTCCTGAAGGAAGTGGTCCTTGTGGACGACGCCAGCACAGTTGGTAAAGACTCCCTTTCAGTAGGGTCTATTTTGTTACCATAACATGCGACCCGTGAAGATCCGGGCTAGAATAGGTCTTCAGCAACCCATGCTTGCAGTAAAAGGCGACTATGCTTGTCGTAAGAGGCTCGCTGACTTGGTTGATGCATGTCATCGTATCCCAACTGCATGGGTCGATGCTCTTGATGTCAATCACTGGATTGTCTGGTCCAGACTCGATTATTTACAGACCGCCGTCATATAGCTGGGATATTGCTGAGAGCGGCGTTAAACAACATTCAAACAATAACATGCTGGCAATGGGGTTGGGGGATATCAGTGCACCAAATAATGGTCTTCGCAATTTGTACCCATTTCCTGATCATGAACCATGACACACATGTTTAGCGTCGACCATGTGTTATCATTATGTAAGCCGTAACTATGTTCCATGTTTTAAGGATATGCTGCTTTGCTGATATACGCTAAACCGCTCTTTTCTATTCTAAGATCACCTGAAGACGCCCCTAGAAACCTACATCCAGCGTTTCAACGGGTTGGTCAAATTGTACCGGAACAAAGAGAGACTTGGGCTTATAGGTGCCCGGATGAGGGGAGCAAGGGAGGCAACCGGAGATGTCTTTGTTGTACTGGACTCACACTGTGAATGTAACGTGAATTGGTTACCTCCCCTGTTACAGAGAATTGCTCTCAACAGGTCAGTCGTGAAAAATGTTTTATTGCCCTAGTTCATTACAATGCTTAATGCTTGGTTTCAGCATCAGCCTAGCATCACCTCAATCCCATAGGTCATCTTGGCCAGCTTTCGGAGGACTCCCAGTTGGAGCTTGTTTTACTGGTTTCACTATTTGACGTTACTATGACATTAAACAACACATCTCGTGACTGTCGTTACTCGTATTAGGAATCTCGACTTCAAATTGTATAACCTTATGTTTATTAATATATCTTTTGAAATATTTCGTTTTGAATGTGTTTTCTGTTTGCATGAGACCTAAATAATATCATAATGTCTGTTTCGTATTGTAATAGCAGATATGAAAAAAGGTATAATTGTTTTTAGATAGACTATATTTTGACTTTTGATACTCAAAAAACACAAAGTACTTTGGATTGTATCAGTCTTCAGTCCTGACATAAAACTTTGAAATATACTGAACCGCAACAGAAACGTCACCATGGATAGATATATGAGAAATCGTATTTGTCAAAACACTGTAAACATACTTTGAGCCATATTTAAAAGATGAAACTTGGCAAAACTGATCATCAAGGTTGAAAATAAAGTGTCAAATGTTCTTAAAGTGAAATACAACATTAGTCTCTGAGAAAATGGCATCACAAGTCCGAATCTCGTGTGTCCGCCATGTGCTTTGATGACTGCCGTGCAACGTCGATACATGGAATGGATGAGGCGGTTGATGAAGGCCACAGGCACTTGAGTTCACCCTCTGAGGAACGCCTGACGCAGTTGTCGGCCTTGTTTGGGCGTCATTCAGCCGTCTTTGAATCTAGTCCAACAGGTGCTCAATGGGATTTAAATCGGGACTGAGGGCAGGCCACTGCATGGTTCTGACGACATTCTGCTGGAGGAAGTCTCTTGTTGCTCTCGCAGTGTGGGCACGGGCGTTATCATGCTGACACTCGTCGTTTCGGCGACGCGACAAATGAGATATGGCGTGTGGTCTCAAAACTTGATCAATGTACCGAGCAGGCGTGACACCATTGCCTCTCCCTGTACCGATGTTCTGGAATACCGCAGGGCCGACCATCTGTGCAAGACCAATTCCACCCCACACCATGATGCTCGGACCACCCAACGTGTCTCTCTCAACAACACAAGCATCCGAGTAACGCTCCCACGGCGTCGACAGACTCTCTGTGTCTCTCTGCCATCTGCTGTTGAGATACAGTAACGGCTCTCGTCTGTGAAGAGGACTCTTCTCCACTGCTGTGTTTCCCACTGACGGTCCCGGCGATGACCTGGTGTCAGAATGGTTCCTCGGTGTGGCCTGTGACAGTGGAGGTGTTTGCTCGTCAATCGTCGACGCACGGTGTTCGAACTGATGTGTCGCTGGTGTGTCCCCATGATCTGTCGAGCGATCTTGAAGATGTTGTCGCACAATCTGACGATCCTGACGTCGGGTGATGACCCTTGGTCTCCCACTACGTGGTCGATCATCTGTAGTGTTGGTGGTCTGGTACCGTTGCTGGAGCCTGTATATGGTCCTTATGTGGACTTGAAATGCATTGGCTACTTGCCGGGCGGTTTGTCCAGCTTACAATCGTCCAAGGGCTTGGTGTCGCTGATTTCTTGTCAATCTTGGCATGTGGTAATAATTCAATAACGAATGAATGTTATCCGATCTGGGTGGATTTTTATAGGGCGAGAAATGGGGGAACGCACGTGCATTTCAATTTGCACGGAACTCACGTGCATCGGGTTACCATGGCCGTTGACGTGATGCATTTGGGCGATCGGTTTTATTGTCATCTGCTTTAAACATCTTATCAACAAATTTCATTTTTCCGGACAAGGTAATGTGAAAGTTTAGAAACTTTGACAAAAATTACCCAGATATTCAAATGACAACTTTCCATGCAATGTTACTTGGTGTGACTTTTCTTTGGCGGTTCAGTATATATTCATGAAGTTTGGAGTCATTCATACCTTGAAACGATAAAGCAGAAAGAAATCAACGTTTTAAAGAAATAAATGATGTCCTTTTTAGTACATGTTGTATGATTATGCTTCAGGAAGACCTTAGCTCTACCAACTGTAGACTACATCCAATACTCCAACTTACTTTACTATGCATTGCCGTTACTCGGGCAAAAGAAAGGTGTGTTTGATTGGGGCTTTAACTACAAGCAGATACCACTAACAGCTGAGGAGAAAGCCAGACAGACGCACTCAACGGAACCGCATAAGTGAGTTTAAATTCATCTTGTCTGCTAAGACCAAGGTATTGTCTGTTATGAACATTGTCGTAAACGTTGACGTGAGTGGGTATCGGGTGGATTCTGTGGCTACACTTTTGAAAGAGAATCTGTCTACCCCGCTGTCCGAGCTTTTGTATTATTATTGTTGTTGTTATTGTTAGTTTTACTCATGCATCTTGTTTCGAGCAGATCTCCAACGCACGCAGGTGGCCTTTTTGCTATGAACCGAGAGTATTTTCATGAAATTGGCGGATATGATTCCAGTCTTCAGGTGTGGGGTGGGGAAAACTTTCAGCTGTCTTTCAAGGTAAGAATGCTTTGATATGATAACAACCTTTGATTCAGACAGTTATATAAGGAGTAATACAGTTGCGTCCCTTTGTTGTGCCCGTGCGCTTGATTCACAGCTCAGCACTTTTAGTGGCACAATTTTGTCTCACAGTAAGCATGGGTTTATACTCCCCTGGGAGCTGAGAATGGGGAGTGTGAATATAGCGCTTTATTATTATTATTGTTATTATAATAATAATAATAATAATAATAATAATAATAATAATAATAATAATTTTAATAATAATAATAATTATTATTAAACTGTTATTGTTATTATTATTATTCGCGGCGACGTTACTTCTGAATAAGTAATTCACATGTCCATTATGCCGAAAGGCTGGGTTCGATTCCCCATATGGTTACAATGTGTGAAGCACAATTCTGGTGCCCCCCTCCGTGATGATAAAAAAGAAACCCGGCATAAAACCAACTCATTCATTCGCGTGCTACTCCGTACTTCCTCTCATGACGATTGTATATCTACCCTTCCAGGTATGGATGTGTGGGGGTCAGATAGAGTGGGTGCCGTGCTCCAGGGTGGGGCACATCTATCACCCCTACATCCCCTACAGCGTCAACATCGCCGCCACGGACACAATCAAGATACCCGCAATACGGCATGTAAGTAGCAATATAAATAAGGGTACAATCTGTCATCAATGTTAAGATGAAAGACCGAAAGTCCGAGCCTTCAGCGTCCATTCACTTAAAAGCCGGGGGTGGTGGGGTAGCCTGGAGGTTAAAGCGTTCGTCCGCCACGCCGACGACCAAGGTGCGATTCCCCACATTTCTGGTGTCCCCCGCCGTGATATTGCAGGAATATTACTGAAAGCGGCGTAAAACCATACTCACTCACTCCTTTTTTCGCCAATATGTTTGTGAACCACAAAAAGATGGTTCTGCAGTTAGTAAACCTTGAGGTCTTCATTAAGTTGGGTTTTTTTCGGCTCAGTGAAAAAAAAACACCAAGCGATTACCGGACAAACTGGTTGTGCGTTTGTTTCATTTCTGCAATTCGTGTTTTACAAATGTCAAACTGAATAGTTTTGTTGTGTTATTAGATCTCGTTATATTAGACTTTTACGAGATTTTATCACGATTGCGGTTAACAATATAAAGTTGTAATTCAGTAATACGCATAACAGTTTTGTCCATGGACACTTGGTTACTCTTTTTAGGATAAAGATTTGATACCTTTTTAAATTGTATTAGACTAAGCAGTATACCCCATCAGGATCCTTCTATATTGGTAACATAAGTGTATATAAAGCTGTTGAATAATACAATTTCAGCTGTCAATAATCATCAAAATACTACTACTACTACTACTACTACTACTACTACTACTACTACTACTGCTGCTGCTACTAATAATGTCGGTGTTGATTTTGTTGATGGTTCTGTACTGCTGGACGGTACAGAAATGAGTGTCAACCAAACGAAGTGCCATATCAAGTTTTTCAAGCAGAGGCTTTCTGAACGAGTTAATGTGCAGTGTGTTGAGAAGATCAGCAATCCTGCAGAGTCCTTCGCTTGGATGAAGTCGTCTGGCCTGAAAAGTGAAACAGAAGGCTTTCTGTTTGCTGTTCAGGACCAGTCACCTCCAACTCGAAACCGTCAATGTGTGATTTTGCATCAAAATGTGAATATGAAATGTAGATTATGTAATGAATTTAATGAGACTGTCCAACACATGGTGAGTTGATGCCTAGCCTTGGCACAGACACAGTATCTTAAGCGACATGATGGGGTGGCTCGATCATTTTACCGTCTTCGCCATGCTTGTGGTTTTGACACAGAGGTCCATCCATGGTACTACCCGGAATATGTAGAGGGCGTCATGGAAAATGATAAATACAAAATCCTTTGGAATAGACCCGTATACAGCCTCAGACATATCCAGGCCAATAAACCCGATCTTGACCTTTTGGATAAATCCAATGAAATCATTTATATTATCGAATTTTCTGTCCCTTTCGACACCAATGTGATTGGCAAGATTGAGGAAAAACATGGCAAATATGCAGACCTCGCTTTCGCAATGTCACGCTTGCACCCCAAGTACCAAGTTGTCCGACTCCCCATTGTTCTCGGTACTTTAGGTTTGGTACCTCCCAATCTGTTGACTGACATTGGGAGAGTACCCGGGTTTGCTACCAGGAATACAGTCCTTCTGACAATTTGGGTAATACAGAAGGCTGCAGTGTTGGGTAGTCTTCACAAGCAGCGCTGCCTTGAAGAAGTCTCATTCGCTGTCTGTAGAGGGGACAAGGACCCTGAGCTGATGATGAGCCTAACAAGCCTAACTGTGCCTGGATCACCCAAATCCTCTTTGCGTCATCTTTTATTTTAATCTGTAAATGATAATACTCATTAAACATCCCATATATTGCAATATTCATCTTTCATTTAGACCTGAAAGTCAACTGCTCCCCATAGTTGTAATATGTAATTTATCATCCAAAACTGGCTCCCACAGGAGATATAGCTTGGATGAGATCAAGCGATATCTACACTGTAGATGTCGCTGCAATGAAATTACATCACAATGGTTTGCAGACCATTGTGACGTCACTGGTTACCATGACCTCACAATCAAATGACATCATCAATGGCTCTGCTACTGAAGCTGTTTGCAGTACTTTTTAGACTGAAGACACTGCCAATTACTGTCTACAAATTGAAAAAAGTTGAATGAATGATGTTGGATGATAAATAAAATCTCACCCTCGTGTCTTTTGATATCAAATATATCAACACTCGTTGATAAAAGTGGCAAAAATCCTCGGCAAGCCTCGGAATTTTTCCACTTTTATCAACTCGTGTTGATATATTTGATATCAAAAGACACGAGGGTGAGATTCTCTATGTATAATGATAATACTAATATTGATTAATAAATGTGCTCCTTGTTACTTTCCAGAATTATCTCCGAGTTGCGGAGGGTTGGATGGATGAATACAAGGACAACTTTTACATTCGGGAGCCTGACTTACGGGGGTATCACGTTGACGTGTCTGACCAGTGGGAGCTGAGACGGAAACTCGGCTGCAAAAGCTTCAAGTGGTACATGGAGAATATCGCCCCTGACATGTTGCTGTACTTCCCGCAACTTCTACCGAATATACAGTGGGGAATGGTATAACTTTCTGTATATCCAGATAGATCAATCAGTGTACAGTGGGGCATGACATAACTTTCTGTATATCCAGATAGATCAGTCAGTGTACAGTGGGGAAAGGTATAACTTTCTGTATATCCATATAGATCAGTCAGTGTACAGTGGGGAATTGTATAACTTTCTGTATATCCAGATAGATCAGTCAGTGTACAGTGGAGAATAGTATAACTTTCTGTATATCCAGATAGATCAGTCAGTGTACAGTGGGGCATGGTATAACTTTCTGTATATCCATATAGATCAGTCAGTGTACAGTGGGGAATGGTATAACTTTCTGTATATCCAGATAGATCAGTCAGTGTACAGTGGGGCATGGTATAACTTTCTGTATATCCAGATAGATCAGTCAGTGTACATTGGGGCATGGTATAACTTTCTGTATATCCAGATAGATCAGTCAGTGTACAGTGGGGCATGGTATAACTTTCTGTATATCCAGATAGATCAGTCAGTGTACATTGGGGCATGGTATAACTTTCTGTATATCCAGATAGATCAGTCAGTGTACATTGGGGAATGGTATAACTTTCTGTATATCCAGATAGATCAGTCAGTGTACAGTGGGGCATGGTATAACTTTCTGTATATCCAGATAGATCAGTCAGTGTACAGTGGGGCATGGTATAACTTTCTGTATATCCATATAGATCAGTCATTGTACAGTGGGGCATGGTAAAACCTGTATATCCAGATAGATCAGTCAGTGTACATTGGGGCATGGTATAACTTTCTGTATATCCAGATAGATCAGTCAGTGTACATTGGGGCATGGTATAACTTTCTGTATATCCATATAGATCAGTCAGTGTACATTGGGGCATAGTATAACTTTCTGTATATTCAGATACATCAGTCAGTGTACATTGGGGCATGGTATTACTTTCTGTATATCCAGATAGATCAGTCAGTGTACATTGGGGCATGGTATAACTTTCTGTATATCCAGATAGATCAGTCAGTGTACATTGGGGCATGGTATAACTTTCTGTATATCCATATAGATCAGTCAGTGTACAGTGGGGCATGGTATAACTTTCTGTATATCCATATAGATCAGTCAGTGTACATTGGGGAATGGTATAACTTTCTGTATATCCAGATAGATCAGTCAGTGTACAGTGGGGCATGGTATAACTTTCTGTATATCCAGATAGATCAGTCAGTGTACAGTGGGGCATGGTATAACTTTCTGTATATCCATATAGATCAGTCATTGTACAGTGGGGCATGGTAAAACCTGTATATCCAGATAGATCAGTCAGTGTACATTGGGGCATGGTATAACTTTCTGTATATCCAGATAGATCAGTCAGTGTACATTGGGGCATGGTATAACTTTCTGTATATCCATATAGATCAGTCAGTGTACATTGGGGCATAGTATAACTTTCTGTATATTCAGATACATCAGTCAGTGTACATTGGGGCATGGTATTACTTTCTGTATATCCAGATAGATCAGTCAGTGTACATTGGGGCATGGTATAACTTTCTGTATATCCAGATAGATCAGTCAGTGTACATTGGGGCATGGTATAACTTTCTGTATATCCATATAGATCAGTCAGTGTACATTGGGGCATGGTATTACTTTCTGTATATCCAGATAGATCAGTCAGTGTACATTGGGGCATGGTATAACTTTCTGTATATCCAGATAGATCAGTCAGTGTACAGTGGGGCATGGTAAAACCTGTATATCCAGATAGATCAGTCAGTGTACATTGGGGCATGGTATAACTTTCTGTATATCCAGATAGATCAGTCAGTGTACATTGGGGCATGGTATAACTTTCTGTATATCCATATAGATCAGTCAGTGTACATTGGGGCATAGTATAACTTTCTGTATATTCAGATACATCAGTCAGTGTACATTGGGGCATGGTATTACTTTCTGTATATCCAGATAGATCAGTCAGTGTACATTGGGGCATGGTATAACTTTCTGTATATCCAGATAGATCAGTCAGTGTACATTGGGGCATGGTATAACTTTCTGTATATCCATATAGATCAGTCAGTGTACAGTGGGGCATGGTATAACTTTCTGTATATCCATATAGATCAGTCAGTGTACATTGGGGAATGGTATAACTTTCTGTATATCCAGATAGATCAGTCAGTGTACAGTGGGGCATGGTATAACTTTCTGTATATCCAGATAGATCAGTCAGTGTACAGTGGGGCATGGTATAACTTTCTGTATATCCATATAGATCAGTCATTGTACAGTGGGGCATGGTAAAACCTGTATATCCAGATAGATCAGTCAGTGTACATTGGGGCATGGTATAACTTTCTGTATATCCAGATAGATCAGTCAGTGTACATTGGGGCATGGTATAACTTTCTGTATATCCATATAGATCAGTCAGTGTACATTGGGGCATAGTATAACTTTCTGTATATTCAGATACATCAGTCAGTGTACATTGGGGCATGGTATTACTTTCTGTATATCCAGATAGATCAGTCAGTGTACATTGGGGCATGGTATAACTTTCTGTATATCCAGATAGATCAGTCAGTGTACATTGGGGCATGGTATAACTTTCTGTATATCCATATAGATCAGTCAGTGTACATTGGGGCATGGTATTACTTTCTGTATATCCAGATAGATCAGTCAGTGTACATTGGGGCATGGTATTACTTCCTGTATATCCAGATAGATCGGTCAGTGTACATTGGGGCATAGTATAACTTTCTGTATATCCAGATAGATCAGTCAGTGTACATTGGGGCACAGTATAACTTTCTGTATATCCAGATAGATCGGTCAGTGTACATTGGGGCATGGTACTTCTTTCTGTATATCCAGATAGGTCTGTCTGTGTACAGTGGAGTATTGTGTTACTTTCTTTGTGTAGAGATTGTTTAATCTCCTTTGCATGGAGATTGTTTTTGTGACATCTTAGCAAGGCAGTTGCTTTTTTCGAGTTATATTTTCTCTATGTTTAGATACGCCTTAAGGGGACAAACAGTTGTCTATGGAAATATAACAGATCTGTGAAAGTGACAACATGTGACGGTCGAGCTGACGAGGTACTGTGTGTTGTTGTAATTTGATCAATACATATTATTTTGTGTGTTTCATGGGTCAGTGTTAACCTCCAGAGGTTACTTCCCGTATTTCCGTCGCGTTGGTTTTCGGGATCAGCAGAGCAAAGCAGAAATACAACCAACTTTAACTGAGTTTTTTACAAGATCTCTGAATTTTATCTTTTTAAGATCTTTCGTCGGAATACAAAAGGACAAATAGCTTTAGGTGAAGACTGTATAGCAGCTAGAGTACAAAAGACAATTACTCTGAAGTTCAGGCACTGCGCAGGTCCTGATAATGAACCGTGGAACTGGATTCAGGTATGTAAGACTGGGTATTGCATGTTTAGATTGTAGGAGAGACCCGTTTGTATGCGTGAGTTAGAGGATGGGGTTAATGCCAGAGTAAGGTGCAAATCCTCACAGTGGCCTGGGTTTAACAATCTGATTTATGGTGAATATTATTTTACGCCGCAACCAGCACTGTTACGGTACATGGAGGAAAAGAACAATGGTTGAACGCATACATGTGCATGACGAAGGCCATCTGTGAATGTTGACACACATTGATTGTATAACCACTTTGGCACCACGTTGTGCCTACAAGGGACCTTTTTATGCCCCGGCATCTATGGGAAAATCGTTCAAAGCGGTGTTAAACACAACTCACTCGCTCACTATGGGGAAATCTGGTAGTGAACTAACAAAATATCGGGGTCGCCGGAACGCTATGCCACACCTCAGCTCGAACACCTGTCATGACTGAGTGTAGGCCATCCAGAATTATGTTCATAATTACTATAGATGTGTTGCAGTCACCCAATCAACATGATGTCGTCTTCATAATACAAGGGCGGGTGCTCCACTCGACTCACAGCGGGATATTCTTAGCATCGTATCATTTTAAAAACAAAGTAACAAGTCTTATGTGTCGTTAACAAAAGTAACGTGTTTAATGTTTCGTTAACAAAAGTAACACGTTTCATGTGTCGTTAACAAAAGTAACACGTGTCATGTTTCGTTAACAAAAATAACATGTTTTATGTTTCGTTAACAAAAGTAACATGTTTCATGTGTCGTTAACAAAAGTAACACGTTTCATGTTTCGTTAACAAAAGTAACATGTTTCATGTTTCGTTAACAAAAATAACATGTTTTATGTTTCGTTAACAAAAGTAACGTGTTTTATGTTTCGTTAACAAAAGTAACATGTTTCATGTTTCATTAACAAAAGTAACATGTTTCATGTTTCGTTAACAAAAGTAACATGTTTCATGTTTCGTTAACAAAATTAACATGTTTCATGTTTCTTTAACAAAAGTAACATGTTTTATGTTTCGTTAACAAAAGTTACATGTTTCATGTTTCGTTAACAAAAGTAACATGTTTCATGTTTCGTTGACAAAAGTAACATGTTTCATGTTTCGTTAACTACTGCTTAGTATTCTTTAATTTCCAAATCGGTTCTCATCCGCGATTACCTGTATAATATTGTTGAGATAAATACCCTGCACCCTAGTTTCGTTTTGAGCCCGACGCTAAACATACTACTCATTCAATAACACTCATGAACGACATTAATTCTAAGCTGATGTAGCGGATATACAATGTACGAGTCCCGGGGTGAGATTCGAACCACAGACCTGATCCGAATTCGGATACCTTGTCCACATGACAAACAGTTACTCCGTCAGCAAGCTACCGGGTTCGGATGTCATTTTTGGAATGTTCTCACGCCCTGCTACGTATTCCCCGTGAACAGAGGGCTAGACCCAGACAGCAAAGTAGGGTACTGAGACTTCTTTTGCTCAAATTTAATATGAACATGCTCAACCACACGTTCAGCGCCAGTATAACGAGTCCTGTGATCCGACCACCTTATCTGATCTTATTAAAATAAACACCATTTTACTTCCCACTGTTCACTCTTTCAGGACACGTACCAAATTCGACACACGGAGAAAGATCTTTGTATAAAGGGGTCATCTACATCCGGGGATGTCGTGTTGGAGCCATGTGATCAAACCAGTATGGACCAGAAATGGACAGTTGAGACATACTATTCCTGGAAGAACAACACGTGACAAGTGTCCCAAAGTGCTCCCTTCATGTGTAAAGTTCTCGCGAAGGCTATTTACAGAGGAAACATAAGACTGATACGAATATATTTGGTTTTCTTACGTATTTTGTACAGGCTCTATTAGAAACCTCTGAGGAAAGTTAGACAGAGTTGTATTTTGTATTGAGAACTACTACTTTGTGTGTGTGTGTGTGTGTGTGTGTGTGTGTGTGTGTGTGTGTGTGTGTGTGTGTGTGAGAGAGATACATGGTTAGGAGAAATGTGTAGTGCGATTACAAGGTAGCTGGCACGCAACTTTGCTCCTATATTTTCCTGGATTTGTCAAGTTTGTTGATGTCTGCAGTACCCTACCAATCAGCATTGTGTGGCAATCATATCACCGAGACAGCCATCTATGTGAATCCAATGATTTAGTACGATATTTGTGTACGTGCGACGGGAAACCCTGGGCTTCGTCTTCAGTCTAAACAGGCTTTAGTTACCTAGTTAACTTCAAATTTGTAGAGTGGTGTCTCAATGAAAATAAAAAATACATAGGAAGTTCTTCTGAACAGCATACTCGTATACTTCCACAAATGGATAAATATCTTGTTAAAAACTCGTAACTTAAAGGTTTGTTGTTGCCAATTTCCTAAAAGCAAAGGATGGGATTCGAGCGTTCTTTAGTTAATAGTGAGTGACTGAGTTGGGTTTACAGTATTCCAGTTATATCACGGCATGTCAGCTTAATTTGGGAGGAAAGACCGAAGTGACGTTTACCATACGAAACCTACGAGCACGGGTATGGTGCTGACAAACCTAGAAATATAATCGGGACGAACCGGGATTCGAAACCACAATCATAGGTTTCTGGCGTGCCCAAGGAACGCAACTCTGCACAGCGAATCGCGGCGCCTTAGACGACTTGGCCACCCGTGCCCCCCTTTAGTTAATACAAATAGCATACCTACTATGGGACGGACAATTTGATATTCTGATGTGAGTTTGTCGGAAGTAATAAATTGTCCCATAAAATGCTTGAAACAAGTAATTATGCTTTAGTCTGTTGAATAAAACAGAGATGCATTCGACCCAAAAAACATTGTTGCTAGATGTTGTTTCAAAATTATACAAAATATTGAGGCTCAATGAATAACTGTTTCCTTGATAACATGATTGATCAGTTACTTTATTGTCACTTCTCATTATAAATGCAAAGCTCACTAGGTACTCTTTAATAATGTGAAGAAGTAGCTTTGAAACACTATTGAGAAATAGTGAAGACGTTGTCCAGAGGCATCACAGTTGTCCCGAGGCACCATAGTGTCCAACAGCACGTGTTGCCCTAGGATGGTGGCTCAATGGGACGACGGAAGAATAAACTCAGGGGTGAAAGTATAAGAAGGCAGCAGCCATGTTTATTGTTAATTGGGAATAACGGTCGTAAAGGTCATGTTGACAGTATTCACGTGACAGAACGCACACTGGGACCGAGTGGCCAATGTTGGCGTTGCGGTGACATGCTCTGTCACTTGTACACAGGCAGGAAGTTGGACAGCGATTCCTTATCGTCGACGTTGTCGTTGGTGAGGCGAAAGCGTTGGCCAACGCCACGACTAGTCGTTCAAGCCGTCCGCTTCTGTCGATGATTTGGGCCCGTCTCTCTGATTGACAATGTCTGTCAGGTTTTGTAGGTTGTTTGTTTTTGAAAGCCGCTGTTAGCAATATTCCAGCTATATGACGTTGATATGTAAATAATCGAATAATCGCCTGGACCAAGACAATCCAGTGATTGACATCATGAACACCGATCTCCTCAACTGGGATATGATGACATGCATCAACCATGTCAGTGAGCCTAACCCGCCCGATCCCCTTAGCCGTGTCTCACGACAAGCATTGGATGATAAAGATCAATTCTAACCAGGATCTTCACGGGTCTAAAGTGGCAATGATTCATAAACACGTGTTTATGGTATAGTCGGGATTGTAATGCGGAAATATGTTTTCAGCTGATACGTTTTACGATTATGGAAATAGCTCCGTCACTTCTAATTCAATCGTACACGAACACATACAACTAGAGTGAGTAACTGACTAGAATCTTACATCGCATCGGCAATATTGTAGCCATATCACGAAGAGAACAAGTTAGTTATTATTGAATATCTGTCGACAAAGGACAGTAAAAGAGTACGTAAAACTAGAAATTGTGTATCCATTTTCATATCTTTGTAGACCCGTGAAGATCCGGGGTAGAATAGGTTTTCAGCAACCCATGCTTGCCGTAAAAGGCGACTATGCTTGTCGTAAGAGGCGACAAACGGGATCGGGTGGTCAGGCTCGCTGACTTGGTTCATGAATGTCATCGATCCCAATTACGTGGATCGATGCTCATGATGTCAATCACTGGATTGTCTGGTCCAGACCCGATTATTTACAGACCGCTGTAATAGCTGTCTAGAGGCATCATGGTCTAAGTCCCGGGGTATCATGGTCTAAGTCCCGGGGTATCATAATCTAAATCCCGATGCATCATAGACTAAGGCCGATGTTTCACCTCTTTAATTCCGCTTCTCCAAATCCCACTGTTGTTTGTGAACCGTGTTATTGCACTCCACAAGAATCAGCCTTTGATCACTTTGGATACACTTATTGAGCACTGGGTGTCGAATTAAGCCAGTTTCCTGTAATTGTAAGAACACGCAACTTCATAAAATGAACCTGATTTTAATAAACTAAAACTCTATGAGGCTAGATCGAGCGTGGGCTTGCTATAAAGTTTGTATACAATTTTGGATTACTGTTTTGGGTTGAAAATGAGATGAATTAGTATCATATTTTGTTTGGATTCTTGTTTTAACTTTAGTTTCAAGAGATTTTATGAAAGGAAGTTATCATGTCTAACAAATATTTTGTTTCTTGTCAAACAAGAAATTAAATCGGGTGAGGCTTAAAAAGCAACTATCAAGAGGCATCTGTGCTATTGTCACCACAGTTTCATGCTTAGGGGTACAGAAGCATAAGAGGTGCACCCATTTGGCACCAAGAACTACCAATATCTAAAGTAGAGCGAAGAGACGTCTATAACATGCGGACTTTTCCTGAAAGATCAATCTGAAGTACGTATATAGTTCAATTTAACAGAACCTTTCATGGTCCAACACGGTTCTCAGGCAATGTGCGCGTGAGTAAATGATATAATTAATTTAACGTATCTTGAAACAGTGCCGTTTTAATTTGGATGAATGAGATAAATATTACATCTATATAACGGCATATCAACTGAAAGCAGGTCTTAGATGTCTACCTCATTTTTGGGCCAAACCAGATTCATCTTGCCAAATCAAGGATTATCTGTGACTGTAATATGCATCCCTGTCACATTATTGACTGTAACATGTATAGCTGTGACATCATTGACTGTTACATGTACTGCTGTCACACTATGTACTGTAACGTGTACTTCTGGCACACTGTAACATGTACTGCTGGCATGTCATTGACTGTAACAAGAATAGATGTCACGCTGTAACATGTACTGCTGGCACGTCATTGACTGTAACAAGAAAATATGTCACACTGTATACTGTAACATGTAAGGCTGTCACATCATTGTCTGTAACATGTGTTGACTGCCACGTCATTGACTGTTGTGTGATCAATTTAACCTCACTTGACAAGCATTACTGACTGCAACATGAGGGAATGGTGCATGGAAGACTGTCACAACGACAATGCGTACATACAACTGTTGCCATTTGAAGGTTGGCTGGTTGGTTTGTTGTTTAACGCCGCACTCAGCAAGAGTCCAACTATATGTCGGCGGTCGGTAAATAATCTAGTCTGGGACAGAAAATCCAGTGATTAATATCATAAGCATCGATCCACGCAATTTGGATCGATGACATGCATCAACCAAGTCAGTGAGTCTGACCAGTCGATCTCGTTTGTCGCCTTTTACGGCAAGCATGGGTTGCTGAAAACCTATTCTACCCCGGATCTTCATGGGTCTGATATTTGAAGGACCACACTACCTGATTCCACTCCCATGGGTGTTTATGTCCATCTGGACACATGGGAAACGAAAACTTTTCTTGTTTAAAAACCAGGCAGTATTCTCCGACAGACATCTGTCCTGCTGTATTGTACCGGAAATACTAAAACATAGAGGAGACACACCATCAATCAAGTTACTAAGACAGACTACCTGATCCATTTTGTCGCCTCTTTTGACCAGCAGAGGTTGCTGGGGCCTAGTTTTTAAGTGAGATAGGTTTGAAGCCGCCTTAAACAATGTTTCAGTCATATTGCGGCGTGTCTGCTAAGTGTAGGCGGAAGGTGCTGGGACCTAGTCTTTAAGTGAGATAGGTTTGAAGCCGCCTTAAACAATGTTTCAGTCATAGTGCGGCGTGTCTGCTAAGTGTTGGCGGAAGGTGCTGGGGAGTGGAGTGATGCAGGCCTCAGACGTTTCCCACGTTGGTAAAACCCACGAGCGTAGGTATGATGCTGACAAACCTAGAAACATAATCGAGGCGAACCGGGATTCGAACGCACGATCATAGGTTTCTGGCGTGCCCAAGGGAGGCAACTAAGCACAGCAAATTGCGGCATCCTGAAGCGACTGCCTCCTTTAGGGTGAATGTTTTGTAGATGGACCAAGGCTACGACAACAGACAAATATACACGTGTCTAACTTACTTCCCCATATTTATCACAGGCTCCGAGTTTTAGCTCTTTATCGATTTTCCTCAAACATTCTCTTCCATGTCGTTCTTTAATCTGAAACGTAAACCATGCTTAATTCCTTCATGCAAAGTGGCCAAAACCGTCCTAGGTAATTATCTGACCATATGGTTAAAGCATACTGCAGGTGTCTATCAAGAACAGTTAGATACTCGTTTATCGGTGCACTGTCTATATACTGTTCAAGCAAACATTCAAAATTATCTCTTTGTCCTTGTATGACGCCACAGTTAGGATAGGTCCCCCGTACTCCGTGTGTTTGTCACAGCAGAGTGATATTGATTGGATGGATTGTCACCTTCACCTCGATTCATTGAGGTATGAATCGAAAAACCGATGTGCAATCTTTTGTAAGAATCCGCCACGCTACGCGGATTCATACAGTTTGCACATCGGTTTTTCGATTCATACCTCAATGAAACAAAGAAATACAATAAAATATACTTAAATTCGACAACGAAAACATGTTTTATCTACGATAGGTTAATCAAAAATAGGGGACATATATATACTAGCCACATAAAGAAACTGTGCACGGAGAAAATATATTCTGGATTGAAATACAACACAGCAAGTAAAAAATGATGCAGACGCTGTAGCAGCTGAATGATCGGACCATAAGAAAATGTCAACGGGACCTGAACAACATCTTTTACGATGACGTCAGAAGATTAAAATTGAGTAAGTCACAAAGTCAATAACGGGTATGACCACCCTGTGCGTGAATCACAGCAGTGCATCTGCGACGCATGGAGTCCACCAAATGGGCATGGAAGGCCTGGGGAATGGCCTGCCATATCCTCCTCAAATCCTGTGTCAAGTCACGGACGTTATCTGGAGGATGTGGAAGACGACGCAGACGGCGCTCCATTTCATCCCACACATGCTCTTTTGGGGAGAGATCTGGAGAAATTGCAGGCCATGGCAGTAACATGACATTGTTATGGTGAAGGAAATCCATTGCGACCCTAGCCGTGTGAGGACGAGCGTTGTCCTGTTGAAATGTCAATCCCGGGCCATGACGTTGCAAGTAAGGAATGACCACAGGCCTCAGAATCTGATCTCTGTAGCCAGCACCGGTGAGATTGCCCTGAACAACCACCAAAGGGGTTCGGTGCCGTGCTGTTATCCAACCCCAAATCATCACAGAGCCACCTCCAAAACGATTCCTCTCCACAATACAGTTGCGTGCATAACGTTCTCCCAAACGCCGGTAGACACGTTGGCGCCCGTCACTGTGGGAAATGTTGAACCTCGATTCATCTGTAAAGACAACATTTCTCCACCATATTCGAGGTTGGCGAACATGATTTAGACGGTTGACTCGATGACGGTGTGTCAGGATGGGACGTATGGCAGGGCGTCGTGATCGAATCCCGTACTGACGTAAACGATTCCTGACAGTGTTGGGATGGATACGGCGCAGTCCAGGAATTGTCTGGGACGTCGTTACTGCCGTTTGGAACCTGTGTCGGAGATGTGTAACTCGAATCCATCTGTCCTGTCTTGGCGTCGTTACTCGGGGACGTCCTGAACGTGGGTGGTCGGCAACGTCATTTGTGTTCTGATAACGCCTCACCAATGCCGATATCGTGTTACGTTGGCATTGGAAATGTGTTGCCACCTGTTCCCGCTCGGATCATTCCAATGGCTTCATGACACTGTGCAGCTGTCAATCTTGGCATGATTTGCTTGTGATATGCTTGTGGTTGCGCCTGAGAAGTTTTGAATTTTTGAATGACCACAGATCATGCTTTCCAAAGTGACAGCGAATTTTGAGTTGCACATGCTGTGTACAGCTGCACAGGATGCACGTGCAGTAACACATTGCACGTCCATAGGCCCCCATCAATGACGTCATATCGCATGGCACGTGCATGAGCGTTTGAATGTCTCCAATAATTGCTGTGTTCAAAACTATCTTTCATATATGGACGGTGTGCCCTTATATCTATATTTTCTCCGTGCACAGTTTCTTTATGTGGCTAGTATATATCAAAACAGACAAAAAATACATTGAAATACATTCCAGGTGTAGGCATACATACTACGGCGTGACATGAATCAATCAGGTGATTGTTTAATTTATGCACATAACTTGACACGCCTACAAAGTCAGTAGCCAATCAACCGAGAGTAGGATCAAAACGATGTTAATAGGATCTGTCAATCAAGGCAAAGCGCGAGAAGAAGTGCAACAGTCAGACTGTAACGAACCGGAACAAATATATGTCTGGGTTAAGGCGGGTGTTTCAAATGACATGGTCAGTTACCGCCAGATTCAAACATTAGTTCCCTGACAACGGGAAAACACATTTGGCAAAATGCTAGATCTCTAGTTAGAAATGAAACCCGAAGACATGAAAGTTGTGGAACCGGGGCGAGCGGGAAAAAAACAGGCGAGTGAGCCTGCACGTTGGCTGTTTCGTTCCTTATCGGGCTTCGGTCTCAAAGGGTAGTTTGGACAATGAATATGCATGAATTGACTTTAATTTTGGGATTCCCCAATATTCGGTGGTAACAAAATTAGTCTGCCTCGGTGGGCGTGGCTTAGTTTTGTACATTCATTGGGAAATGAATGCCACAACACGTGACCAATTCAGCTAATCAGAATGCAGGAATATCAATTAACACAAAGAAAATTTAATTAATCAACATTAAACAATTGTTACCATCCACCTCTATTTGGGTTCCAGAGAGGTATGGCATGGTTCCTCGTGCTGCATGATGCCAAGTGTTAAGCCTTTACCAATGCCGCCCTCCATTGATTGTCTATACCACCTATTGTGCAGACCACGGTGAAATATGGATATAACATTGCTGGCTGCGTTATAAATCTGTCACTTGTTATGCTAGCTAGGTTTTTAAATAGTACTGAGACTTGAACAGGTATGTTATAACGGCCTGTAGTTCCATTATTCATAAAGAACGTTCTTATATGGTCGAAATAATACAACGTCCACTGGTGATATGGATTGTTTCCAACTCTTTGTCTCAAAGTTAGATATATATATCTATATATATATATACCACAAATAATTACTCTCGACTAGGTTAATATTCCAAAACAAGGACTCGACGACCCGACCCCTGAGGTGGTTAGACCGCCGAAGGAGTCGGATCTGAGGGTCCTTGTTTTCGTTTATTGACCTCTTCATGAGTAATCAATAGCTTTTTTGTTTCGAAATCACTTTATAGTTTGTGAAGCTTTTTAACAGTCCTGTTTCATTACTGGAACTTATTTGCGAACCGCGAAATGTAAGTACCAGACGCCATTTTGTTTTCCCGCAGGGGGTCTATGTTAAGATGTATTGTTTCGTTACGTGGTACGGATTAACCAACGGAATTGCAAGATGTTTTCATACGAGAGATAACAAAACTCCGTACAGTTCATCATTTTCTTTCTCAGTCCCTGAGAATGATTCGCGCCCAGCTGTTTCTGTCAAATAATAAACCTCTACGACATGCTTCTTTGTTTCTTGTTTAACGCCACACACACCAATATTTCAGCTATATGACGGTGGTCTGTAAACAACAAGTCTTGACCAGACAATCCAGACATGCATCAACCGAGCCTGACCATCAGATCCCGTTAGTCGCCTCTTACGGCAAGAATGGGTTGCATAAGTAGCTGTACAATAGGCAATTCACCCCAGAACATCATATATTGCATTAATAAAATATTGTCAAAAACCATATTATATGTTGAAAGAAAATAAAACCATCAAAGAAATATTTTAAAGTAACGTGCACACTCACACTACCCCAGACTACGTTCGCTGGGGGTAGAGGATAATCCTTCACCACATCGTAGGCCACATTCTCCATGAACCATTTGAAGCTCTTACAGCCAAGCCTCTTCCTGAGTTCCAACTGGTCAGTGACATTCACCTTCATCGTCCTGAGGGCTGGATACTCAACGTAGAGATATTCCTTGTATTCATCCATCCATCCTTCCGCCGTACGGACGTTGTTCTGTAAGAACCAGTTTCATAGTGAGTCCTTCTCAGCTCACCTGAACAGAGAGTCCAGTTAATCTATGGCAAATAAAACGTGAAACTGAGTTGTCCAACTGCAGTCTAACTCATGTTTTCACTATCTACATTATATTCTCAATCCATTGTTATGATGATCAATTTCAGTCAAATTTTTGCCGCGTCTCGCTAACATGAAACCATGGGAGCTGCAACTGTTTCTACCACAAAGTGGTACACCTGCGAATCTTGCGGCGAGCTAGCCTTTTTGTACAAAAAGATATAAACCCGATATATATAAACCCGATAATCTAATCAAAGGTGCATATCGATGGTACCCAGATCCAGAATGACCCAATCACCCCTAGTCCCAGAACCCTTGTAGTTGGGCATATTGCATGAGACTTCGAAGCGGCCGGGGAATGGATGGCCCTGTACTGGGGATACCCAGTACCATGATGGCGTTCACATATAAGAAACAGAAACATCAATTTTGGGGAAATCTTTATGGATCCTGCGGAAACCACGGAGGATAGTGCATGGGCGATGAGAGATTTCTGTATCGTCGAGCAATGGCAACTGCATCTGCTCACAGAGATTTCATTGTCGTGTCCATCAGCGCGCCTCAGCTCAAAACCAGCATCAATTCTCGATTACTTGTGGCTCGAAGACAGTGTGCAGTGTACTGTTTTTGAGACCTCTGCATGGCGCAGATCACAAGCATGAATCGTAAAAAATGATATGGTTTGTCCGAGTGCTACGTATTTTCAATATTTGGTGTTAAAAGGGCCTCTTTTTCACAGTGGGTAAACAGTGCTTCGGCAAAAGGATCTTTTTTATTGACGAAAAGGCGCAGGATGTCATCGGGCAAGCATTACCACTGCCGATAACGTACATCCGTTTATGGGATGCGGCTTCCTCACTGATCACCTTGACATTTTTTGCCCCGTAGGTATGTAAGTCTTACACACTTGTCACCATTCTCGTCACTGAATTAATTTTGAATTGTTTGGGGATTTAAATGCCGCTAATGATCAAGTGGATTGCCTGGTCGTACCATACAGAGGATAACATATTTTGTGGTTAAATGAAGGTAATGAATGAACTTGTCTTACAAGTGCTGATGGAATAATATCTTTACGTACCGCTGGTCGTGAAATTGAACTGAGTTTCCCATCGACGAGGCCCATGGTTGGTCTAAACTGTTTGTCTCTAACAATATCACTGTCTGCCGATTTCGCGCAACTGACAATTTATCGCAGATTCCACATTGTAAATGCTCACAAGTAAATTTTTGGGGTACTCAGCAGCTTCATTTCAGGGAGGAAGGTCCGAGGTTCGATCCCCGGCTGCGTCATACAAAAAAGACGTTCAAAGATGGTACATGTTGTTACCCTGTCTGGCGCTCAATTTCACCTCACCTCATTTCAGGGGGCATTTCGTTTCTGCTTATGCAAATTGACAAATTAACCATAGGGAGAATTAGATGCTGAAAATGGATCAAACTGAAGGATACCTTTGAACCTTTTAACACCCTATTTTCTTGTTGTTTTTAAGACTGACAGTTAAAACATCCTTTAGGTCAGTTTCAGTTGGTTTACTGAATCTTTGCTCAGGATCAAATTAATAGCACCAATTTCGAACTCAGTCTTGATAAGTATCTCTTAGATGAACTTGCAAAGTTACAATTATGTAACTTCAACAGTTTCTAAGAAAACGTGTCCCTATATGGCAGACTCAATGCACGAAGTAAAAATAACATGGATCAAGGGCCGCAACTGTGTATGCACAAAATCTGAAAACATCAAGCTCCTCACAGCGATAGCCCGTTCGCAGAGCTCTCTATACTATCGCTGCCACCAGTCAAAGCTCCCCACTGTGATTGGAGGCCACATGCTTGAGTTGAACTCGCAGCCGACTGACCGTTACGTTACAAACAAGTGATGAGTGTCGTGACGCCGAATACTCTTACCCCTGCTAAATTATTTAATTTCTTAATTGATTTGAATTCATGTTTAATTACAACTTTTATATAATTGATATAGTAAGAACTTAAGAGGAAAGTTGGTTGAATTAAAAGTAAACGCATCCGGGGAATATGGTCAGTCGTAAACCTTTTCAAAATTCACTATGATTGCATTCCCAAAGACATGAGCAAAAGTACTACATTTGGGGTTTGAGGGCAAATTAAAAGATTCTTGTAATGGCCACGCCTTCACTGGTGGCAGCGATGTTACCGGGAAGGGAAGGGAAGGGAAGGGAAGTAACTAAAAGTAATTTATGGCACCAATTTTAGAACAAGGTTTTGAGAAAACTTGTCCCCATTGGAACCATGACCGTAATATTTTTTTACGGTAGTAATTTTAGAATTCTGTCTGGAAAAGTAGCTCTCAGATTTTCATTCCAGCAATTTTCTGAAGTTTCTGAGAACACTTCACCCTATTTCACGCAGTATGCACAAAGTTGAGGTGTTATAAATAGGCTATCGGCCATTACTTAACTGTAAGAACGAATAGGTGAGCAAATGAATTTATCAAAAACACATTTTGCTCTTTTGTGTTAATCATATCTTAAACATTGTTTTTAAAAAGTTTCAATTGAAGTTTTCATTCATCGTTTATATGTGAACTAGAGGCAATGCGTATGGATACTGAGAACGCGAAGGTCTACCAAGTCGTCCGCTAGTGGGCGTGGCTAACGTTTATTAAGGGTCATGGAAATATGAACGAAATAAATTGCTTTGTTTGCCTACTTACTTACGTACTAAATGTGAACCGCACCATGTCATATTAAAATTTTATTGGGTAATAAACGACAGTGATGTCCGGAGATGGTTGGTAACAATTAATGTATTACATATGAGCTACGATACTCACGTGTTCTAAATAGGATACTTTAAAGGTGAACGGCATTGTGTAATGGTAGATGTGACCCACCCGAGAGCACGGCACCATCTCAAATTTACCTCCGCACATCCATTGCTGAAAAAGAACGGTGACCACGTTTTCATGTATGTCATGTGGTATCAACTCATATATTGGAGGAAAACTTGAACGTTTACGACGTGGGTGCAACATACCGCAATCTCATTAAAATCAGACCTTAGTTCTCGCTACCGCTTAACAAAGAGCTGCAGACATCCCATTAGGGGTCACGTCAAAACGACCTTTCATCCGACTAATCAGAGCGTCGCTTACCAGATTATGAAAGTGACAGTCGGAATGTGATTTCTAATCATGCAACCTCGAAAACTTTAACACGTGGTATTCCGAACGATAGTTGCGGGTTTATCTATACAACCTAGACTATCAATTAGCCATTCCAGAATGTTCTTTTGTTTAGGTTTCAAATTTGTAATCGAGAATTCATCAAAATATGTTTCGAAGCGTAGTCGCCAATTTGAAATTAGTGCCGTAAAGCACGAGAAAGCTGCCCTCTGACTGGTCATTCTATTGATTGGCCAAAGTTCGCGCAAGGTCGGTCTGACGTGACCCGTAATGGGATGTCCTCAGATCTTTGTTCAGCGGTAGCTAGAACTAAGTTCTGATTTTAATGAGATTGGTACATGTATTGTTGTGACATTTCCAGGGTCATAATCAGGATGAGTCTGGTATTCGATCCCACGGTCATAGAACCCTCAGGAACACAATATTAATATTACACTTCATATTGCATTCATCTTCTTTTTACCTTGAAAGACAACTGGAAGCCCTCTGCTCCCCATATTTGTAGACCCTCGTCATAGCCTCCGATGTCAAAGAAGTGTTTGCGGGCGACTGCAAACAACCCACCGGCGTGTGTTGGTGTTCTGTGATAGCAAGTTCAGCGATTACTTTCTGTCATCCCCCACAAGGAAAGGGTTCACGCCATCGTCAATACTTCATTGGGATAGAGGAATGTACGAGGGTTGATCGGTAGGTTCTGAGCTTTCATAATGGAATTGTATTGTGGACAATACATGATGTCATAGAGGTAATGTCCATAAAACTGGTGCCAATTTAGCGAATTGTTTCTCTCCGACAAGTCAGTAAGAAAGGAGTCTTTGACGTGCATTGATCAAGTACATGCAGAAAAAGGGATCAAACCCACACGCCATACATCAGAGTTTATGCGCGTCAGGGAGACCCTTGAAGACGATCCCCGTCCAGAAAGGCCTGTCAAGTCAGCAACACCAGAAACGATCCACACAATGCACGATATAGTGAGGACCGACCGGCGACATGACGAAAGTATCAGCCTGTTGGGATCCAAAGGTTCTGACATCTGATAAAAAAAACGCACCAGGCAAAACATGTCTTGTGATAATCTAGCTCTGTTTGAAGCTGTTTCAGAAAGGTTCTTGCAACAATTTGTAACTGATGAGGAAAGCTGGGTTCACCACTTCCAGTCCATACAGCAATCAAAACAGTGGAAGAATTTGACATGACTACCACCAACGAAGGCAAAGCCTGTCCCATCAGCTTGAAATGTTCGGGATGTTCTGGGATGCCGAGGGTGCCTCCATGGTGGACGATCTTCCGAAAAGCCAGACAATAAACGGAGCATATTATGCTGCACTTTTGAGGCAAATACGAGAAGCTTATAAATGGAGGGCTCTTTCATCAGGGCAATGTGCCAGTGTACAGATGAGTCATGGCTACAATCAACGAGTGTGGTTTTGAACTTCTGCACCCATCTTTGTCTCCTGATCTGGCTCCGTCAGACTTCCATCTGTTTCCGACATGAAGGAAACCCATTTCGACTGGAGCGATGAGGCCATATCACGTGAGAAGTCTAAGACCTGCATCACTTAGGGTTTTCCTCACACATCAAGCTGACACGCCGTGATATAAGTCGAATACTGTTCAAAGCGGTGATAAACCCAACTTACTCACTCACTCCAACCTGGTTGGCAAAAGTGGTATCAATGTGTAAGGGGATTACGTTGAAACAGAAATTCTTTTAATGTCTTCAGGTCAAGTCTTTCTATGTGAGCCTCTGAACATATCATTCAATCCTCCAAGTGTATACAAATCCGCGATGTTATGAGATAGTAAATTTGATTTTACGCCGCTTTTAGTAATATCAGCAATAATTCCAGCAATATAATTGCCGTGGATACCGGAAATGGGCTTCACACATGACCCGGGTTTTCGGCGTGATGAGCGAACGCTTTAACCACTAGGCTACCCGACCACCCCGCGATGTAATGACGATGGATTCATGCTAACAACACAGTACATGAAAACATGGACGTTTATATAACCTTGCACCTGCACAGAAAATTTACCATCAATATGCAATATTCCACTTTCTTTATTATGCTTTTACATGTACTGTAATGTCTGGTTAACTTCAACTTCAATTCTATACAGAGTCGAACCTCGTTCCGTCGACCTGGAAAAAAGTCGAGTAATCCGGGGTTCGAGATAACCAACAAATTGAAATTTCAGAAAAACAAACATCACGTTATTTGAGGTTATTACATGTAATCTAGTCATCTCTCGTTTTATACTTCATATAGATGACATATATAGAACTTTGCAGTGGTCGAAAGGTGAATTCAAGACAACCGGGAATTCGACATATCCAAGTTCGATACAAAGAGGTTCGACTGTATCTTAATTCCGCAGGGATTCCGGTTGCCCGTACATCGTGCTTGTCATAGAAAACGACCTCAACGGGGATCAGCCAGTCCGACACATTAGGCGTTCAATAAACTGGTTCCAATGGTCCATAATTGATTATTTACAGGCTGTCGTGAAATAGCTTAATAATATTGCTTACGCTGCAATAAACAATGTTCACTAACTCGATATACACACGTATCTCGAGACATCGTTTTGGAAGATGTAACGTTCTAGTAGTCTGGTGGTTTGTCACGTCGAAGATACGGTTTTGATTGCCCACATGGGTACAGTTGGTGAAGCCCATTTCTGGTATACTTTTAATGTACTGTAGCTTTTACAGTCGTTTTCCCTTTAAATGGAACCACATTTAACCACTGTTAACAGACCACGTGTAGATACCTGATCACAAAAGGTCCCCAGCAATGACTAAATGGGTCAAATAGTCAGATTAATTAATTTGGCAGATTGCGTTTCATCGTATCCAAATCAATATTAATTCATGATTTTTCTAGTCGAGAGTCGATAATGTGAAAATGTCAGTCCCTATCAAAGATATTCAGGCCATCGGACTTATGATGCTTTCGTTATGAAAAATGGTTCATCTACAAAATATTCAGATTCAAGAAGGGAATAACTAATGAGGTCACCATATTTACCCATAAGGTTCCGAGTGATGTTTCCATTTCTGTGCCTGCTCCTTGGCAGTGGCTGCCTGTTCTTTGTATCGAAGACCCCAATCGAAAATGCCCTTCACCATGGTCATCATAATTGGAATGTAGGTGAAGTCTTGGTAGTGCACGGCATCAACGGTCGGCTGAGCCATCGCCGTTCTACAAGACAGATGATAGTAAAGTTACGTTCTCTTGGAACTGATGATCTACAGACCTCCATCTTTTTTTACCGCAAAGGGCCGCGTTTTCAGAAATTTCAATTCAGTTCTTGAAACATAGTTCTATGTATGAAACAAGCTGAATTCAGCCGCATGTGTAACTTATATACCTTCAATGTCATGGTTCAGTGACATCAACAGACCACCTTTTCTCTTTCTTCTACTGCAAGTGGGCTCTTGAAGATCTGGGTTAGAGTAGGTCTTCAGCAACCCATGCTTGCCGTAAAAGGCGACTATGCTTGTCGTAAAAGCGACAAACGGGATCGGGTGGTCAGGCTCGCTGACTTGGTTCATGCAGGTCATCGATCCCAATTGCGTGGATCGATGCTCATGATATCAGTCACTGGATTGTCTGGTCCAGACTCGATTATTTACAGACCGCCGTCATATAGCTGGAATATTGCTGAGTGCGGCGTAAAACAACAAACCAACCAATCTTCACTGTGCCACTTGGACGTCCCGTTAGTCGCCTCTTACGACAAGTATAGTCGCCATTTACAGCAAGCATGGGTTGCTGAAGACCAATTCTAACCTGGATCTTCACGGGTCTTTACATAGATAAAGGTATGTACCTGTCGAGAGCAATTCTCTGAATCAGCGGTGGTAGCCAGTTTACGTTCACCTCACAATGAGGCTCTAGTATCACAAGGATTTCAGAGATTGCCTCCCTTGCCCCTCTCGTCCGAGAACCCATAGCCCCAAGTCTCTTTTTGTTCCGATACAATTTGACCAATCCATTGAAACGTTGAATATAGTTGTCTAATGGTGCTAGAAGATGACCTGAAATGTGTATGAAGGATAGGATTTACGAGAAATGAACCCCGCAGAGACTGGTTTCAGAATAGGTGAGCACTCTGTTGCTTGTGGTGAGAGACGTCTGTTTTGAATAGAGTGGCCAGGGGACTCAGTGATTAGACGATTGACTGCCATTGTATTTCAAGAAATATCCATGTTGCTAGCGATAAACATTATCATTGGTTTTGATCACGTGTGGTGAAGTGACGAGGTGGCGAGGACTATGAAGATGAAAGAAATACCATTTATCGTAGAAAATTCGAAACGGTAAATGTGTAACAGAAATCCAGATTAGTCAGAGGCCGGTTTTTACAGATTCCACTCTATGTACATATAAATATATGTGTAAATATGCTCAATGATGTAATATATGACAAAGTGTCCCAGCATCATGCACATATTTTTTATCACCCTCACCAAGATTTGTCATGACGAAAATCGTAAGAGACAACCAACGGATCGGGTGGTCAGGCTCGCTGACTTGGTTGATGCATGGATCGATGCTCATGATATCAATAACTGGACTGTCTGGTCCAGACTCGATTATTTACAGACCGCCGTCATATAGCTTGGATACTGCTGAGTGCTGCGTTAAGCAACAAAAGAACAAATACTCTTAATCATATACTGAGCACGAACAGATTGAAGATTTTATAGACTTGGCTTCGCCTCAATGTAACAATGATGTTGGAGTGAAAAAGATATTGTAATGTAAATGGCAATTGCAAATCCATCACCTACCCCGTGTGCTTGCGTCGTCGATAAGAACCAGCTCTTTTAGGAGGGAGGGTGGGGAGCGGTTGATGATGCTGTGGATAGTTCTCAGGAGCGTGGAGTTGCCTTCATTGTGGAAAATGACAATCACAGAGGCACTCGGCAGATTGCTCGGGTAGTGCCAGAACTTGCACCTGGAATAGGAAAGGGCGTTGTTCGAGAAATAACACAATTTCAGTTACTGCTTCCTGAAAACTTATATTTTACAAACCATTTTTTCATGATAGCCAGCAATTAAAAAAGCACTTTCTTTGAAAAACCCGAGGCGCTGAACAGTTTGTGATAAAATATATTGTGCAAAAAGAAACATTGTGCGGCTCCTCCATTATAATATATTGTATATCCAGAAGCACGATCTATTGTCCCCGACAGCTGGTCGGGTCACACAACTCCTACGATCATCACGATCAATTATTCCCGTTATAGGCCATACCAACTCGTCACCATGATTTTAGACATTGTCATGGAGGGTAGAAAAAGTCGTTTAACAAACTCTCATGTAATTGTTGGTGTTGTAGCTAGTCGGGTGACAAAACGTTTACTGTTGCACTTCAACATGATCTGTTGTTCACGGTAGATGGGCGGGTCACACCTAAACACGATCCCTGAAACCGGTTTTCCTTTAATATATTTCGATTTCTTCATCGTTCTTCTTTTGGATGGCATCCAGATACAGTTAAAATGAATAACAAGAAGAAGAATATCGATATCATTATCAGTACGTTTTTACAAATCATGGTATCTCGTTAATGCTTCATTTAAGCATTAAGCTAACTAGAAACATCATAAACGAATAAAGATCCGTCAGTATCATATTCAATGTACATGTAAAGGACCGTACACTGTACATCCATTAATTTTATTTATTTTTATTAATACCTATCAACTAACACAGTACAGATGGGATACCTACCTGAAACAACTAATTTCTGCTAACTTCCGACACATTTCTGGCTTCAAGAACAGCCACTTTCAAGATACATTCGACAGGGACAAATTTTGGACATTCTTGTGTGTACTGTCATATATACTGAACCGCAAAAGAAACGTCACCCCAAGTAACATTGCATGAAAAGTTGTCATTTAAATATCTGGGTAATTTTTTTCAAAGTTTCTAAAATTCTAAACATTACCTTGTCCCGAAAAATGAAATTTGATGATACAAAAACAAAGCAGATGACAATAAAACCGATCGGCCAAACGCATCACGGCAACGGCCATGGTAACCCGATGCACGTGAGTTCCGTGCAAATTGAAATGCACATGCGTTCCACCATATTTTTTTTCCTAAAAAAATCCACCCAGATGGTATAACATTCATTCGTTATTGAATTTCTACCACATGCCAAGATTGACAAGAAATCAGCGACACCAAGCCCTTGGACGATTGCAAGCTGGACAAACCGCCCGGCAAGTAGCCAATGCATTTCAAGTCCATGTAAGGACCATATACAGGCTCAAACAACGGTACCAGACCACCAACACTATAGATGACCGACCACGTAGTGGAAGACCAAGGGTCACTACCCGACGTCAGGATCGTCAGATTGTGCGATAGCATTTTCAAAATCGCTTTGATACTGCTGCGGAAACCAGCAGACCATGGGGACACACCTGCGACACATTAGTGCGGACACCGTGCGTCGACGATTGACGAGCAGACACCTCCACTGTCACAGGCCACACCGAGGACCCATTCTGACACCACGTCATCGCCGGGACCGTCTTCAGTGGGCAACACAGCAGTGGAGAAGAGTCCTCTTCTCAGACGAGAGCAATTACTGTATCTCAACAGCAGATGGCAGATAGAGAGAGAGCGAGAGTGTGGCGACGCCGCGGGAAACGTTATTCGGATGCTTGTGTTGTTGAGAGAGACTCGTGGGATGGTCCGAGCATCATGGTGTAGGGTTGAATTGGTCATGCACAGACGGTCGGTCATGTGGTCTTCCAGAACATCGGTCCAGGGAGAGGCAATGGTGTCACAGCAACTCCGTACATTGATCAAGTCTTGAGACCACATGCCATAATTCATTTGGCACGTCGCCGCAACCAGGAGTTTCAGCATGATAACGCCCATGCCCACACTGCGAGAGCCACAAGAGACTTCCTCTAGCAGAATGGCATCAGAACTATGCAGTAGCCTGCCCTCAGTCCCCATTTAAATCCCATTGAGCACCTGTGTGACGAGATTCAAAGACGCCTGAATTACGTCCGAACAAGGCCGTCAACTGCAGCTGAACTGCGTCAAGCGTTTCTCAGAGTGTGGGCTTAAGTTCAAGTGCCTATGGTCTTCATCAATCGCCTCATTCCATGTATCGACGTATACGGCAGTCATCAATGCACATGGCGGACACACGAGATACTGGCTTGTGATGCCATTTTCTCAGCGACTAGAGTTGTGTTTCCCTTTAAGAACATTCGTCACTTTGATTTCAACCTTGATCTCAAAGTATGTTCACCGAGTTTGGACAATACGGTTTCTCATATATCTATCCATCCATGACGTTTCTTTTACGGTTCAGTATATTACAAACGTTGTTATTTATTGCTTCTGTCACTTATTTGACCCATTTTACTGCTTTTGAGTTGTAAATCTAAAACTGAGTGTTCAATATAATATTTTGCTTGTTCATTGATCTTGTGTGGCCATTTGAGGGGTTTACACTTTAGTACTGTACGAGCCGATTTCTGGGGTCACGTTTGTTTTTCAATTTGGAAATCACCTCGTAAAAGTATGTTTCAGTTCAAATGGTTTGGCACCGCTGTCATGCATGTGTTATTACAGTTTAAAAGTAGGTACAGATTGAATGCATAGAGAATGCTAAAATTATTTAATGTAATTTCATGTTCATGGATCTTAACACTGTAATTAAAAGCTGCTACAGTCACACAATGACATTCTGACTTACTTTAAACCTGTTGCCCAATAGCGATGGCACTGTGTTAAAAACTGAGAAATTGACGCATTGTTCCAAGTACCTATTACCCTCTGCTTCTGTTTATGAGCAGGTACACAATGTGGCCATACGTGCTGATGTTTGCCATTAGTTGTGTTCTGGAGTTTCGTTTTTGTGAACAAGACGTAAAGTTTTTTAAACTTTTGTGACAATTATTGTAAGTGTTTACCTGCTCCTGTGACATCGACTTGTTAAAAAACTTTATGGTCACTATCATGTGGTCTCAGACGACTGTGATTTGTATATTTTCATATCTAGTTTTCCACAGGACTGCTTCAGCTATGTCATTCATATTCATACAGGTGACCCTTAAATAGTCGAGTAAACTTTCATTCTGTATATTTCCCATCTCAACCGTTTCCCTCTTTCTAAATTTACTTCAATTCTGATATGCATGATTTTGATCATGCATTTTAAGACAGCGGATCTTGAAAGTAAATTTCCCGTGGAAGCGACATGTAGTCTTGGCAAAAGTGGTTGATTCAAAAGAAGACTCACTCTTCTTGTCTTGTGTCAGGGATGGTACGATCCAGAGAAATCTGGTCGCTCACTTTAATGTCACAGCCGTAATGCATTAAGGATTCCTTGTCTGGAGTCGTGGTCTTTACTGGTTTTCCCATCTCACCTGCAGATACGAATAAATACTGACGAAATACTATATTTATGTAACAAAAATATGAAACAAGTAACTGTCCACAATGTTTCTAAATCAGAAACTATTGTTGAACATTACACAACACACAAAAGTTAAATTTATTTTACAAAGTTTCTCTGAGACCTTCAAACAAGGATAAGGATTCTCGCGCCAAGAATTTCAGAGTACAGTACATTTTGAGCAGAAATCGCCATACATCGACTTTTCAATGCTGCCATGGCGGTCATATTGAAAATGAATTTCAAACCTCTTGCATGAACAAAGTGAGATGTCAGCATGTGAAAGACGGAACATATGCGTAGAGCCCCACTACTAACTACACATATACCAAATTTCATTACATTTTCAAAGAAAAGGGTTTAGTTATGACCATGAGACGTTCCAGCTTTCAGTATGGACGAAGCGCAAAGGTCAAATCAAGGTTAAAATTCAATACATAAAGAATACTACGAGCTCCCGTATACCAATTTTATGAAACGAGTGAATAGTTCTGGTATCCTACGAGCGAAAGCGAGTCAGATACACCAACTTTTTACGAGTTTCATAAAATTGGTTTTATACGGGAGCGAGTTTAGTATTTTATTTATTACTTGCCATTTATAACGTTTTTAGAATTATACTTTTGATTGTGAATAGGCTGACACCTACACGACCCACGCGTAATCCAATCGAGTTAACAGAATAATACTTCAAACACGTCAAAAGTTGAAACGTATGAATTTAATACCATATCGTAAATCATAGACGTTGCGCTAAGATCTCCTTGTGGAACGGAGCCCTGCACCTCAAAGTTTACAATCACGTCACAATACCGATGACGTAAATTGTGGAATTTTGTTGCAAGACCCATCGGTGAAACAATGCCATGTGACTTCAGCCTTGCAGCAAGGTTGCTGGGGTCATCGGGTGTGCATAAGCTCCTCTCAGTGATCTATCATCTCCACACGCAATGTCGTTGAATAAGCCAAGGGATGTGGAGAGCTTTCAATATTTGTTCGTGAAACTTGTTCCGAGAGTACATAAGCACGCGTTTTGGCATTACACACTGTGTAATACAGCAGTATGTTTATTAAACGGGTAATCTCTTCACGGGCAAGTAATACATCGCTAAAAGGAATATAAATGTCGATCCCCACTACTAACATGTACCAAACTGCATTGGAAGATTGAATGCGTATTTTGTTGGGCTTATTACAAACCTTTGTAAGAATCCGTAAGAAGTATGCACAAGGGGTTTTTCGATTGATACTCTCTGAACGTTCCAATAACATGTGTTCTCAACAACAGTTTAGTGATAAAATATGACCTTCAATTAAAACAGATACATAAGAGGAGATAGTAGTAATACATTTTATGGCGTAACATGGCTGCTTAATTCATGAACACAACTCCAAAGTCAATAGCCGACCCGTGAAGATTTCGGGGTAGAATAGTTCTTCAGCAACCCATGGTTGTCGTAAAAGGCGACTAACGGGATTAGGTGGACAGGCTCGCTGACTTGGTTGATGCATGGATGGATGCTCATGATATCAATAACTGGATTGTCTGGTCCAGATTATTTACAGACCGCCGTCATATAGCTGGAATACTAGAGAATGTGTTACACAACAACAGAACAAACAAAAACACTCAATCATATACACGTAGTAAGGAGATAGAATGAAGATATATAGACTTGGCTTCGTGTCAATGTAACAATGATCACCGCAAACACGAAAACGTATTCCGTATTTTCCGTATATGGTCATTGGACGGAAAAACGACTAAAAATTGATTAAAATTGATTAATTGGCGAGCGTCTAGAAAGTGTACGGAAAAGCGTCGAGTTTTTCAAGCGTAAAATGGACGGAAAAACGATGCTTTTTGCTCCGCCTTGTACAACTGTTAACGGCCAATCAGCTGGCGCTGTTCCCCCGACGCACGTGATGCCCAAGGCTTCCTTTCGGAAGCATTAGGTTTCGTATTTCTGGCATGCCTTGCTCTAGTATCTGTCGCGCGCAGCGAGATTTGCTGATTAGTCAGTTTTAGGAAATGTAACATGGAATTCAGACACGCGCCAAGGTGTCAAACCAATCAATGTTACCAAGTTTATTGAGATAACATATCCCTCCGCTATGCACAGTTACCTCTATCGGATAATGGGTTGTGTTTCATTTGGTTATTACAGAAACTAATTTTGTAATGTGAACTTTACACGACATACGGCTTTTCCATAGGACGAGAGGTAGGTCACATGACGTTTTTCACGTGACTGTATTCTTGAAATTACGTATGTACTGACTACTTCCACATCCCTGGGGAAAACCCTGGGAATTCCCTAGTACGAATTCATACAGAAGCGTTGTTTCTCATCATTTAGACCCTTTAATTTTGAACGTAGCGTCTTAGCATACTCTGAGATAAGTCATAGAGTTTGGTTGCGTGCCCGTTCAAGGATACCCTCGCTACAACCCATCCTACAGAGAAAAAAACACCAAAATCCAAACTATCGTAGCGACAGTCTATAGCAATCTATGAATTTACCTTAGTATCTATATGACGCATCTTTACAATCACCTTTCAATGATTGGCCAATTGATCAGTGATGACAAAGGCTTGAAATCACCACAGGTTAACTAACAACTTCGGAAATATCTCCCGTCACGTTTATCGTGTCGGCCATTTTGAAGCCTTGAACTTGATGTAAATATAATCATATACTTTTCTTTTTTAAATGTTAAAGTTTGCAATCACACATAATGTTGATCACCACTGTAAAATGCAAGGATATCAGCCTATCATCACCATCACCATCACCATTATCATCGTCGTCACCATCATTATCATCACCACCACCCCAGCTTCAGCATCGCCACCGGTATCGTTATCATAGGTATATACCGTACTCCACACAGAGATTAACGAAGGGCATCTATTTGATCAGGGGTTATTTAAATATCTATAATAGCTGTGTGTCAGTATATCCAGTTTCTGTCAATTCAGAAAAATACCAAGTCGGTCAGCTGTGAACACGGTTCTTCAGCATCGGGCATCAGCTGATTTTCTTACGTCCTTGACACGCAAAGACCTCTTGACATGATGTAACTTACCAGGGAGAGGAAGGAGATAGTCGGATTGCAGACACGAGGTGGATGTCGTCCAAATAGTGTTACGAACTACCAGAAACCGTTTCATAGATCATGCTTTCTGTCTAGGAAACTATTCATTACTGCTGTACAGTATCAAATATATTAGAACAGTAAAAGAAAATAACGACACCAATTCTCAAACTGTTTAAAATCATATTCCAAGAATATATACATAACCGGGCAAAAGCAAATGCCTGCCATTCTAATATCACTCCTGTGTACAGTGAAATTGCGACCCCCGTGTTCCTTAAGACGTCATGTGCACGTCACCTGTTGTGATACACTCATTGATATGATGCATGTAGTATTGCCTAAGATACCCGAAGCAAATATAACATGGGTGTATACTTACTTTTGCCCGGCATTTTACACAAGTTACAGAGAGAAGAAGAAGAAAATTGTTTTATTAAAGTGTCACCCGGCGCTGTATACAATAATATTTCGATCTGGTAAAATACAGGCAGATATATATAAAAAGAACAACGCCAGCCGGCCTATAGAGGCCTATGAAACACATGTTACACGGTAAAAAGCATGTAATATAAGAAAAGAAGTTTATGAAACCACTTAAGTGCATTTAAGATACTAAGGAAATTAGAGTTACGAACCATGGGGTTTTATAAATTATGTAATGAGGGAGTTACGACGGTTATACATTTTAGACAATGATAAGGCTATTTTCTTACACAGGGAATCATTGGACATAAGGTAGAGAAACTGGTCAACTGTAGACAGCTGAGGGAAAGAAGGATTAAGAGTAGAAGCAAACTGAAGCGCAAATCAGCATAAAGTTGACAAAACATAAGAAAATGAAGTTCAATTTCGACAGAATTACTGCTGCAGAACTTACATATTCTCTCCCCAAGGGGGATAACTGGACGTGAAAACCTACCAAGTTCTACCTGCAGCGGGAGTGTTCCACAGCGGAATTTACGGCATTGCCTAAAAGTCGGGCCGGGACGGGCCAAGACGGGCCAAAGAGGTACTGGCTAATTACTTCATTATCGGCGATCATACCTACATATAATTGATGCAATATGACATTAATGAACAATCACCAAACAAAACAGTGCACCATAAATAAGTAATTCGGAGTAAATCGCTTGTAAACCAGGAAGGGGAGCAGTGTGTAAGCGTCGCTGATCTTGGTAAGATGTAAAAGAGCAATCGTTAAACGAAGTAAGATTTGAAACGTATCAAATACTTCTAGCTATCGTGATACAAATTTCCATCTGTGAGCATAGTGTTTATATTTATAGGAACGTTCTATATGTAAGTAAATACCACTTTATAATGTCACTGATCGTCGTATTTAAAGCAGACACGTTGGTTAAAGTAGACCTCTTCTCCCTTTACTCTCAACAGTCACACAGGTGTTCGGTCCCACTTGGCCCGGGCGATCAAAATCAACTTTAAACTCACATATGTATCATCAAATGGATTCACATCTATAAACTAGTATAATATTTACCTAAATACCACTTTATAGTGTCTCAGATCACTGTACTTAAACAAAACAAGGTGCTCAAAGTGAAGCATTTTTACTGAATTTTCTTAGAAAATCTCTGTCAGAAGTGTTCGGTCCGACTTGGCCCGGGCTGTCAAAATCAACTTAAACCTCACAGATGTATCATCAAATGGATTCACATCTTTAGATTAGTATTATATCTACCTAAATACCACCTTATAGTGTCTCAGATCGCTGTACTCAAAGAAAACAAGGGTCTCAAAGTGAAGCCCTTTTCCCTTTACATTCTCAACATAGTCTCTATCAGAAGTGTTTGGCTTGTGTTGGGTCCGACTTGGCCCGGGCGGTCAAAATCAACTTTAAAACACACAGAT